ATAAATACAAAGTGTATATTTTAAATAATAATACCTGGAGTATGTACGATAAATAGTTTATTAAGATCGTATATTATACGCATAAAAAAAAAAAAAATAGAAAACGAAAAACGACAAAACAAAATGGATCATCCGACATGTAGTAATATAATCTTAGAAATTTCTTTGCAACTGACTTGCTCTTTCAAGCTGTAATTCTCTCTTCAATATTAACCCTTTGATCATCACTTAGATTCACAATTTTTAGAATCAAACGTACAGAATCTACTAAGAAGAAAAAGATCCCAAGTGAAACATCAAGTCTATCTTTACTAAAAGTGAAACGGCACGTCGTTTTTAACTTGGAATATCCGAAGGGTAGTTTTAAATCGTCAAATTTGGCGTGACAAAAGTCAAACAATCAGACGGTGAAGATTAACCAATCCCCCACCCATCCCAGTCAATGCATTAGTTTGACCATTTCAACCCCCTAATCAAAAGTTCAAAACCCGATAACCAGCGCCATTTCTCTCAGTTTCAAACAATAAACAAATAAAATATTTTACTCATGCATGCAACTCACCGAGTCACTGACTGAGTCATCTCCGAGTTCCGTTTATGTTCTTTCCTTCTTCTCCTGTGCTTCCCTTTTTCGGTTTCACACCAAACCGTGGTTCGTTTTTCTTTTTTTTAATTATTTTATTTTTAATAATAAAATACCATTTTCATTGCTATCAGTCTGTGTTCATATCGTATTTAATATTCAAAACTGTAACGTGGTTCGTGAAAACTATTTTTATTAATTAATTTTAGATTATCCTTTTTTTGTTTCTTGTTTCAACGTTACATCCTATTTATCCACTTTTTATTTTTGGGTTTATTTTTTTTTTTATTATTATTTTTTTTTCAGAGAATTTTGGACGGTTGTTGCTGTGAACGGCTGGCTTTCAATTCTCATCCATGGCTTGGTTACCAAATTTTCGAAGCTTCTTTCTGGTTAGTTCTTATTTTAATAGTCATATTTTAGTGATAATCTATTTTCAAACTGAGAATCTTTGTCTGATTTTCTTGAATTTGATGTGTTGTGATGAAGGGAGGAGGAGGAGGAATGAGAGAGATTGATCTTGGTTCACATACAATAAGAAGTCATGGATCCAGAGTGGCGAAAACCCATATGCATGATTGGATCATATTGGTTGTTCTTGGCGTTACCGATATCATTCTGAATCTTATTCATCCATTTTACCGGTTTGTGGGGAAGGAGATGATGGCGGATTTCAAATATCCGATGAAAGATAACACAGTGCCCGTTTGGGCTGTGCCTGTAAGTTAAATTTTCTTTTGCATTTCCCAGAAATTTTCATAAATAATGTAAAGTGTTGACATCCATTTTTCTTTTGTTTGGGGATTTTGATGGACAGATTTATGCAGTTTTGATGCCAATACTTATTTTCCTGATAATTTATTATCGTAGGAGATGTGTGTATGATCTGCACCACGGCATTTTAGGTGATAATTTCAAGCAAATTTTGCAGTCATTTTATTTGTTGAAATGTGTCAATTGCTTTTGACTCATGAAATTTTTTATCTTGTGCAGGCCTTCTTTATGCTGTGCTGATTACTGGGGTTATTACTGATGCAATTAAAGTTGCAACCGGCCGCCCTCGCCCCAATTTCTTTTGGCGCTGCTTTCCTGATGGAATTGAGGTAAAAAAATTGCCTCAGACTTTCTCCCTGCAGGAACAATTCTTCCTTGTATCCAACGCACGTATAACTATCCAATGAGAGAATGGATGTCATACATACATGATAACGTGACTCATTTTTATTGGATGGTTGTACGTGCATCGGATGCACATAAGCATTATTTTTCCTAGGACCTCGGTTACCTATGATAGCTAACAATAAAATACCAAATTTCAGAGTCTTCAATTCAGAAAGTTCAATCTAGATTTTTGTTTTTCTAATATTAGTTGATGGTAACTAACCGTTAGCTACATCGATCCACCAATGAGGTCTACAAGAGATACCTTTTAGGGTTAGATGATGGTACGTAGCTAACCATTAGCTACCATTGACCAATTAACGAGGTCTATAGGAGAGACGGACTATTCTCTGTTATGTACTTTGTGATTCTTGAGTTATGCTAAGTTTTATTTACTCTTTTTTCCAGAATTTTGGTGGACGGTTTGGAGATGTGCTATGTCATGGCAAAGAAAGTGAAATAAAAGAGGGACACAAGAGTTTTCCAAGTGGGCATACTTCATGTAAGCAAGTTTTGGCACTAGTTTAATGCAACATTTTGCTTTGAAAATGCTGTGAAATTCATAGTTGAAACAAAATCTGGATTTTGCTATACAGGGTCCTTTGCAGGATTAGGTTTCCTCTCAGTGTACTTGTCAGGAAAAATCAAGGCATTTGATCAAAGAGGGCATGTGGCAAAGCTTTGCCTTGTTCTTCTTCCTCTCCTCCTCGCAGCTCTGGTTGCTGTTTCTCGAGTGAGTGACTATTGGCACCATTGGCAAGATGTGTTTGCTGGTGGCATTATAGGTCTGTTTTAGTACCAAGCTCACTCTTTTGAAGATGTTTTATTATTATCTGATAACGTTAAAAGACAAAATATTTCAATCAAAGTAACACTGATAAATAGGAGTTTATACTTTTTGCAGGGCTGGTTGTGGCGAGCATTTGCTATCTACAATTCTTCCCACCTCCATATCATGATGAAGGTAAGATTAATCTTCGTAGAAACCGGACATGAGACCTTTAGTTCTGATGACTAAAGTAGCAAAACATAATCAACTGTTTCAAAAGTGCAGATTTCAGGATTGCTGTCTAAACAATGAATTGCTCATATTTTTCTTGCTTTTCTCCATATATATATAACACAATTGTTTTGAATTCTGCCTAATCTGTTTGCCCAGGATGGGGACCTTACGCATATTTTCGGGCGCGAGAGGAGTCAAACAGTAATGGAAGCACGGTTCTTCCAGTAAATGGGCTCGCTATTCGGTCAAGGGAGAATGTTGTGAATCAAAATGGTAATTCGTTTATGCCATTACATGTTGAAAGCCCTTCAAGAACAACAATAGATGCAATGGAGGCAGGAAGGAGGTGATAGATCATGTAATTGTTTATTTTTAGCTTTCGGTTTAATTCTCTGGGTAGCTTCTTATTGTTTATCTCTTTTGTTATTATTTTTTTACTTAATTAGCTCATGATTCCACAATTTCTTAGTGTTGATTGTATACTATTTTAGGGCTTTAACTTTGTAAAAATAGATTTTAATTTTGATAATTTTATTTAACCCCCCTAGTAAATTATCTAAAACACTTAAACACGTAACTATAATCATGAGTACAATTAATCTTTAATCGAGAAATCCGCATAAAAAAAAAAAATCAAAGAATATGTATTTCAAGCTATCTATTTGGTTTCCCTTGTGTCACGACCTTATTCTGCAATATCATGTTCAAATGTGATGTCGGGGATGTCACACGGGCCAATTAGCCAGGTAGATTTCATTAGTTGTGACTAAATTTTGAGATAAAACTTCCCTGGATAAGCTTTATTATCAATTCATTCTATAATTGAATCCAAGTCATACACTAAATAATTGAAATATTTGAAATCCTAAAGTGGTTCAGTCATTATTTTTGAGAGCTTATAAGGAATAGTATAATTCCTAGGAAAAATTGCTTAAAATAATTGCCCAGCCCCCCTTGAAATATATAACACCCATTTACATGATAAAATTGAGATAAGATTCAAATACGTAGAATTAGGAAGTTGCATGATCTTCGACTAATATCATTTTTCTAAATTGAGTCAATCTAAATATCTTATTTCCTAATAAAGAATTATCTTCTCCGGATTGCATGTATAATACGTCATGATTTCATTTAAACGCAAATTGGGTATGTGGCAGATCACCAACTTTAATTATACATTTTGTTAATCTGGTTTTTTGAAGTGTAAACTAGTATTCAGAACTCTAATTGGTCATGAGCTTTGATTTTGTATTTTGTCGGTAATTTAACTGCTCGTAACCGGAAATTTTCATATAACTTTGACTAAATAACAAATAGATAGAGATTTGTTTTCTGATCCACAAAAGTGTCTAGTAGCTGCCTGACCTTTTTGTCAAAGGGATTGAATCCCTAGATATAAAGAAGAAAATTGCAAGAACAAGCAAGGAATAAGAAAGTCTTGACAGTTGATCCCAGTTACCCACAAAGTACAAAAAAAAATTAAGTGGAAAGTGTTATTGATAATGCATTTTGAAGGTCAGAAAATTCTATGATTCAAGATTAATGATGTTAATGGGATTTTAAAAATCTGAAAGAAAAGGACATTTTGCTTTTGCAAGCATTGATCTCCTCCACATGTGTGTATAAACCAATAAATTCTCTTCATATATCCACCGCAAATTTAGATTTTATTTTATTTTATTTTTCCAAATAAATGATAATAATTGGCTAGAAAATAATATGATTAGACCTTGTCGGCTTGTCTCATTATTAGTAGAGAGGCTAGACTCTTAAATCAACCAAATTGAAAGTACCCATTATTTTGTTGAGTAATAAAAGTGATATTTATAAATAAAAATTATTATTTAGAGTTTTTTTATTACCATTTCTTAACAAATCAGTCGTATTTTTCTCTGATTTAGAAATTAATTCTAACAACTTTTATTTACCTAAAATGTTAATTTTAAATGAATTCCAACAAATATTTGTTCTCATATAACCAAAAAAAATTAATAAATATTTGAAATTAGTTTAATTAAAATAAACTAACTCACAAGGCTCAAGAAAAAATAATTAAGTTCAAAATACTAAATTAATTTAGTTTGTAAAAAACATAATTACTTTTCACTAATAATTTTGTCTTTATTTTTTTGTTTTATGGTATGGTCCAACGTCCAGTCGTCCACGTATTTCTTTTTGTTCTTTTTAAGTATAAAATATAATATTACACAACACGCGCTTTTTTCTTTTTTATTTTTCACTCGCTGTATAAATCCGTATTGTCTTTACCCAAAAACTCAGCACTCAATTTTCAAAATTCATTTCAAAAGCTCTGAGCTGCTTCACTTTACAGGTCACTCCATTTACTGAACTGAATCCTCTCATACTTCTTTAGATTCAATTTTTTATTTTTTTCGTTTTGCATCTCTTCAGTTTCAAACTTAGTTTTGAAGCTGCGGAGTTGAAGCGTTTTTTTTTTTTTTTTTTTTTGATATTTTTGTTTGAGTTTTAGAGGTAATGTGTGTTTGCTTGCTGAGAAAGTGGAGGAAAATTAAGAAAAGAAAGAACAATATGCTAAGTTTGTTGTTTTGTTTTGGAAAGAAAAACAGAAATAGTAACGGAAACAGTTGGTTGATTTGTGAATTTTAATCTCTGTTTGTGGCTGTTTGTTTACCGAGAAAGTTGAGGAAAATGAAAAAGGAAGGTGAATTCTGAGTTTTTAGGTTTGTATTATTATGTTTGGAGGTCAGATTTTTAATTTCTGTTTATTTTTGCTTCTGTTTGTTACCTTTTAGGTTTCGATACGGAGCGTATTAGCTAAATTTTCTTGTAGAAACCCTAACTTTTGCTTTCTGTACTTTGAGTTTAGTATTTTTGTTTGTGATATATGAATTGGTGATCTAAAGAGTTATATAAATGTATTTGTCTTTATGCGCTTAATTTTTTGTTTTAAGATGTTGACTTTTCGGTCAAAGTTGAGGTTGTTTGGGGATAATATAGTCGTTTTGTTGCGAACTAGAAGTTTAAAATACTTTAACGTTTGTTTTCATGCTTGTGTTGATTGTCTTCAAGTGGTTGCTTCCTGCTTTTGATATGTTATTACACTAAAAGTTATATTCCGTTCTGTTAACATGTTGTTTGTATGTGTGGGAAAGAGAGTTGTTGGGTATGTGGAAAATTTTATTGCTTATGGGAGAAGTAGCTAATTCAAGCTGTTTAGTTTGCCATGAGGATGAGTAAATATTATTAAAGTGACAGAGGAACTCTAAATTATCGGTGTTTAGTTTCAGGGATTAACTTAAGGCTGAGCATTATGATCTCAACTAAACTTTTAGCTAAGTAATCATATCTGTTCATGTAAATGCAGTTGTGTGGTTATTCTGTTTCAAATTATATAAGTTAGCTTTAGCTGAGTGCTGTCTTTATATTCATAGTTATGCCCACCCTACTCCAAAAAAAAAATTGTGTGGTGTTGTGGTTTGGTAAAGTTTCTGGGTCAGTACTGTAGTCTTTCCTTCCTGATGAAGTGCAAGATAGTTGCTTAATTGATGTGAATCACATTCTTGCTGGATTGGTAATTTTAGATGTGCTTAAGGAGTAATTCCTTCTTTCTCACCTGTCTTATTTCTGGGTGTTGGACTATGGGAACGATCTTTAGTTGAAATGCTGTTTGCAAACCATTTTTCTTTTGAAAATAGTTGGTACTGTTCTGTGTTCATTGAATTTGCTCCATCTTTGCGGAAGCTAAGTTTTCCTTTTGTCAGCTTAAAAGATATAATTGATGTTAAGTACGTATATCAGATTTGTGGAGTATGGTCTTCTTTCCATTAACATTGTTTAGATTGGAAAGTTGTGGTATGAGTAAGTCCCATAAACTGTAGTCTATTTCAAGTGGTGAACTTAAGAGATCTAGTTAAGCTGTGGATGGAATAATTTTAAGAATCTTTTATAGTGGTTGCATTCCATACTTTATCATGGGATGTTATGACCTTTTAGTGAGTTGACACCTTGTGTCACAGGCTTCTACTTGTACTATTTGGCTTTGGGATTTGGTTTGCATTAAAAAAATCCAGCTCAACGTGGATATTAGGTCACAGCTTATATTTTCTTAGTTTCTTAAGTATTTCAATGCCTTATTTTTATACAATTCTCAATATTTTAGGGGAAAGAGTTTGAAATTTTTTTGAAAGGTTTCTTGTATTGTTTCCATTGGTTTGTCTCATGGGACCTCGAGCTGCTTAGAAATGTAGTCTTAGTGAAAAGTTTAGACTTAATGAATGCAACACATCCTGTGTAAGGCATCGCAATATGGTAATGCTTTGCTTACGTGTAATGATTAATTGTACTTTGGTTTGTACCAGAAAATAATGCATCTGTTACGTGTTTAGACTGCTGTGACCTGAAGAGGTGGATTGAGTGGTTTTACCTTGAACTCCAAGATTCAAATCCCTTTAGGCCATCTGCTGGAATTTTGTGTTCTACAAGTTTCTTGACTACCAAAAATACACACCTAGTGTATCGTCTGTTAATATAGGATATCAAAATATATTCCAAAATATCTGGTCTATGCTTTCAACGAATTGCTTTAATCTTATTGCAATTTGACTATTACTTTTTATTTACTGTGATGTTCTGTTAGCTATGGGAAGAATTTTTTTTTTTATTACTTGTGCTTCAAATTTTCGTATAATGCTAATCTGATAAGTCTTTTCCTTTTCTTTTTTTCTGCCCCTCACAGCTTATTGAAAAATGCCAGAGATTGTATTGGGTTCACATACTGTAAGATCCCATGGACGTCAAATTCTCTGGATACATGTGTATGACTGGCTGATTCTTATACTTCTTGGCGTAATAGAGATCGTTTTGAATGTCATAGAACCATTTCACCGCTTTGTCGGAAAGGATATGATGGCAGACCTGACATATCCTATGAAACCAAACACTGTTCCCTTTTGGGCTGTTCCTGTATGTCTTGGCTCTAAGAAATAAATTGGATGAATTTCCTTCATCTGGAAATTTCATGACATTTACTTTAATGACAAGACTAAAACATCTTAATATTATTTCATTTCCTGTAACAGATGATTGGAATTGTGCTCCCTTGTATTATCATTTATGCGTACTATTTCTTCAGAAAGGATGTCTATGATCTTCACAATGCCATATTAGGTAGCCTTCTTTTTTCGATATATTTATTAGTCTGGGCACCTCAGTTTTTATGTTTTGATCTTTGGTCATAGATTTAATCAATGGTAACATGTGTTCAGGCCTTCTGTATTCTACTCTTATAACTGGTGTTATAACTGATGCAATTAAAGATGGTGTTGGTCGACCTCGCCCAGACTTCTTTTGGCGCTGTTTCCCAAATGGCACAGGGGTGGGTTCCTCTGATTCTTCCACTTTGCTAGTTTTTATTTTAGATTGTTTAATTCAAGTTCAAAGTAGTCTGTTCTTTATGTTTATTAGCTCTAACTATTTCAATATATAACTTGTCCATGTCATTTCCAGATTTATGATCCTGTCACAAAGAATGTTATGTGTACTGGAGATAAGAGTGTTATTAAGGAAGGACACAAAAGTTTTCCAAGTGGACATACTTCTTGTAAGCAGTTCAATTACTTTGTGAGAGGGCTTATGTTCCTTGTTTTGTCCTTTTTTCAATTTCCAAAGCAGTTTACATTTTGAAGAATGTGGATTATTAAGATTTATTTTGCACCTCTTCTGATAAATGATATATCAGTTGTCGTTTATCTGTAATAGAGATAATCTTATCTCTTCGTATTGCATTACCATGTATCTTAGATGCCAAACGTGCTAATTAATAGTTTTATGCAATATAGAAGTATCCCTTCAAATTTTGTGCAAATTATTTGGTTCTAGAATGATGAAATTTACAGGTTCATTCATGGATCCTCTTTGTTTTCTAATTCTCATGCACTGAGATTGCTGAAGAAAATACAAAAGTTGTAACAGACTAATTTTTTTGGACAATGTTATTGTGTATTAGGAGATTTATTCATTTTTATACACTTACATTTGATTTTTATCGAAGGAATTTGCTTAATTTCATATGGTTGGTTTAATTTATGTTATCAATTTTCAGTTCCTCTTACTACGCGAAATAATAACCAGAGGAATTCTGACTGTAACTATGCAGGGGCCTTTGCCGGCCTTGGTTTTCTTGCATTGTACTTGTCGGGGAAAATCCGGGTGTTTGATCGTAAGGGCCATGTCGCAAAGCTCTGTCTTACTTTTCTACCTTTACTTGTTGCTGCTATGGTAGCCGTTTCTCGAGTCGATGACTATTGGCATCATTGGCAAGATGTCTTTGGTGGAGCAATTATAGGTCTGCTTATTTACCATTTTCTTTTCTCTTTTCTCTTTTCTCTCTCTCTCTCTTTTTAATTTTCTTGTTTATTTATTTATTTTTCAAATAGAAACCAAAACTGTTTCGGAATACAATAGCCTACTTCTCACAGTGAATTCTTGGCATTTCCTTTATACAGGGATAACAGTCTCTACATTATGTTACTTGCAATTCTTTCCACCGCCATATGATTCGGATGGTATGTCTTTCATTTCTTCGCCATTCTATATTGCATGTTGTCTACTTTGAGCCTTTGTAAATTGACACTCAGATTGCTCGAGAAAATAGGCTGTTTTGCTACCAGTGCTTTTTCCTTAGTGATATGAGCCTAATACCCATGCTACTGTATTGGAAATGCAGGTTGGGGACCTTTTGCATATTTCCAGATGTTGTCGGAATCTCGAAATGGGGTTCAAACCAACTCCACCAGCCGTCTTGATGTACAGGCATCGGAGCTTGAAAGCGTATGTGTCGAATCTCAACACCGGAGGGAAATGTCAAGATCCACTACTCAGGACACTAGCCCGATTATCATGCATGAAACGGAAGATGGAAGGAGACGCTGACTATCAAGTCTTTCGCCAATGCACTGTAGAGAAGAATGGACATAAAATACCAGGTTTGATATCAGTAGAACAAAATACTCCTTTATATCACCAGATGTTTGATCAGAATTTCACGCTGATGAAATCTGAACCGTCCCTATTGCTTTTCTTACTAGTTTTGTACAGTTTTTTACATTTGATTGATTTGGGTGGCTTTGGTAGAATACCTTCATATTTTTTGACTCCGATTGCAGGCCAATTTAGATATAAAATAGTAAAATGAATGGGAGGATTAAAAAATTTAATAAGAAAACCATGATATAAATTACATTATTAATAACTAATTGATCCATTTTTTTCCTTAATTATTTGGTGACTGATTCGTCGATTCCATTTATAGGTACGGATAATCTCACCTCCATCACAATCATTAAGAAAGAGTCTCCTATAGATTGTAACCAATACGCTTCTTCAATTTATAATAAATAGATTTTAATTCGCTTTGAAATTGTCCAAATTTAATATCATATAGAGTTAATACAATGAAACAATGTTAGTTTTGGGCATGTCCTTTTAGAATTTAGTGTCATTTTTATTCTCTTTATTAACTCTTGTTCGGCTGCCTTAGGGTCTTGAAGTTCTTCAATTTGTTTTTATATCTGGGATTTTATTGTTAAGTGACATTTAATTGAACCAATTGACTTAGTCGTCGACATTCACCGTTCCGAATTATTTCTATATTTAAAAAAAAAAAAAAGCATATTCTTCTTTCTGTCATTAAGAAGGAAATCAATTTACAATGTCGATTTAATAATTTTGATCCTTAAGTAATATGGTAAACTTCTAAAAAAGAAAAATTAAAATGCACCTATATGTGGTAACCTAGATAGTTAGGGCGAATTGGGGATAGGGTGGATAGGTGTACGGTCTCGGGTTTGATTCTTCATCTGAACATCGGCGATTTAAATAGGTTTTTCATTGAAGTGTGTGTAAACTAGTTGGGACATTTTAGTTACAAATTCTACTAGCTCTACTAGTTGTGAGGTTAGAAAATATTATTAATTTCTAGTATTATTAGCTCCCCTCTATATAATTCGGAGTTAGAATTAATATTTCTAATTACAATAATGTTTTTAATTAACTTAATTAGCCCTAATTTAGAAAGATAAAATTCTCCATTTTTAATTATCGATAACTACAAGCTTGCATTCAAACTCCCAATAAAATTTTCTCCCATATAAACCCCCTCAACCTCATCTCCTGTCTTCACAAATCTCTCAATAACACAAACAACATTAACAATGGAGATTCTTCCTCTTGCTTATTACGAAAACTTGAAGAGATTCTTACGCAGAAGAAAGTACCAGAGACTCGACAGTACTTCATCATCATCATCATCATCATCACCAACTCATCAGCTCAACAAAAAGAAGCTAAAGATTTCCAGGCTTGGAGGGTGTAGAATTAATTCGACTCGCCGGCTATGGAGAATAAGAAGAAGAACCCCGAAGCTGCATTGCAAGATTGTTTCAACGCCCATTAAATACTTGGCCAAGTTCCATGATAAGTACGTTGATATAATGATCAGTGTAGCGAAGAAGGTGGTGAACCCTAATAGTATTGGAGGGTTTTTGGGAGGAAGAAGAGTGGCGAAAGCTCGACATTTTGCTTTGGTTTCTTCCAGTGAAGAAGTTGTTGACAGCAGATTGGTGATGGAGATGTATAAGAAGTTGGCAGCTACAAGACAATCAAGCAGTGGTGATGAATTGTTATAAGCGGGAAGCACTTTCAATAAAAGCAGCTAAATTCATTAATATTGTTTGTGTGATTTATTGTAATGTTGAAGAGGTTAATTGAATTCTTCAAGGTTTTGTGATTCTTAAAGGTGTAAAAATCTTGTATTCATGGCATCTAATTCAAGTATAATAATGATCTAAATCGGTTTTTGGCACGATAAGCAATTAAGTATGTAGAGGCAGAGCCAGGAAATTGAATTTGGGGTTCAAAGTGTAATGTTTAACAAATGTGGGGGACAGAGGAAAAAAAAGCAATTTGGAAGTTGTATTTTAAGGGTGTCAAAATGTCAAATTCAACAAATGCGAAGGCCAAAATAAAAGAAGATTTTCGGGATGCGATTGGTATTTTCACATGCAAATTATGAAAAATTTTGTAGGATCTCGGGTGGTCTTAATTAACGAGCAAGATCGATAAATATTATAGAATCAAGGCATTAATCCCGCAAGTTATAATATAATACAAAATCCTCTTGAGCTTGTGGAAATAACATAAAACCCCCTGTCATTAGGTGTTAAATAAACAGTAAGAAGACAATTTGATAATATTTATTAATTCATGACAACGTAAATTTTAACGACTCATTATACATTTGTGAAAACTATCAATTTAGTCTCTATACATTTCGAATCTCATTTATACCCCTCAAGTTCTTGAATTACTTTTAACCCCCATAAATGTAACTTCCATTTGGTCCCCTCATTCATTGAACATTACTTTTAGCTCCCAAACAAATTTCTCACTCCAACTCTATATATCTTACCAATGAATTAATTGATATCCATTATTGTTGAAATAAACTACAGTGGCCTATAGCTAGACAGCCAATGTAAGTATAATATTATTGCATACGGCAGCCAGCCATTGCTTGTAACTCTTAACTATTTGATTGTGAGATACAATGTTTTGATTAATAATAAATATGAGCTTGGCCGGTTTCCGCTATAATTTTAGTAGAGTAAATAATTTACAACCCAAAGTGCATAAAACATCTTATGCGCACACACACACGCACACGCATGCATATATAAAATGTGGAAAATAATACAGTCACCGACGGTAATGCACCGAATTTGTGCACCGAATGACGTGACAAAATATTGACCGTTGATTAATTTTAACTTAATATTAATCAACGGTTAGAATTTTGCCATGTCATTTGATGCACTACCGTCGGTGGCTATAGCATTACTCATAAAATATTAGATCTCCTTGCTAAGACCAGGTGCTACGAACGCATACCCATAACTAATCAATAACAATTGTGTGTATTAATACCACTTATTCTCGTTGATTGACTGTATGTATAATCGTTAAACGAAAAACCGTTTTGAAATTTGATGATTATAATAAATTTGTTTATATGCATATATATAGCTGGGTTTTCTCATTTATTGAGTTAGATTTTAAAAGTAAATTCTATTTAAGATCACTTTATTATGGTATTATAGTCACTTTTGTCTGGGATTGTAACAGGTCCTTGTCTTGTTTGGGTTTGGACATGATCAAGCCCTATATACTGGGCTTGAGGGATATATAGGTTCCGTTTGATTCACTCTTTCACATAGTATTTTGGGTTTTTTCAATAAAGTTAAACAGTAAAATTGGCTTATTCTCAAAATATTATTTCATATTATTCAATTTCTTTTAAACCCCCCTAAATTTATTAATTTAACTAAACGCTTCCAAATTTTTTTTTAGAAATTGCAAAAACACCCCAGCAACCCACATTTACCAGATTCTGGCCACCACTGCCGGAAGCTGGCTGGAATTTGGTATAATGGCGCACTACCGGTCGAATCTGGCCAGTAGTGCGCCGATCTAGCCTTTTCCAGCCAGATCCATGGTGGATCTGGCTGGAAAAGGCCAGATCTTTGGCCATAGCCAGTCGTCAACGACGGCCAAGACATGGCCGTTGTTGACGACTGGCTACGGCCAAAGATCTGGCGATGACCAAATGCGGCCAGATCTGGCCGTCAATGGCTAGATCTTTGGCCGTAGATCTGGCCTTTTCCTATCAGATCCATCGACGAGCAAGATCCAGCCGGTCATGCGTCGATACAGCAACTCTGACCATCATCCGGAGGTGGTGGCCGACTGTCCGTATTTAATGGGTGGGTTAGAGGTGTTTTTGTTAACTTTTAATATTTTATTATATGAGTGTTTAGTAAATAAACAAACATAGAGGATATTTTTGTTAATTTCCTTATCCTACATCGTAATACCCACCCAATTTAACTTTTTTCAAAATATTATTCTAAATAGTATCATAATAATGAACTAAATAGATCCATAATCTTCTTCCACCAAGCGTGTCATCAGTAACATCAATCTGGTGATCTCCATTGAAAGCTGTGATTCAACTCCCCATTTTTTAATACAAACCTTCGACATATAATATACATTGAATCCTTCAAATCTCGATTGAGATTATACATGCATATATTTTAATACCTTAGCCCCATATATATGTTGATGTAATTAATAAAAGCCTGATTTTATTGTTGATTCTAAAGGACAAGGACAAGTGATATGATTTCACAAATCACTATCAAATCATTAAAAACATTTAGCACAAATCACATGCCTTGTTTTTACACCCTTTTCTTCACTTCTGTAAATTAATATTTTTTTTTATGGTATACTTAGAGAATTTAGTAAATCCTCCCAAAATTAATTCCTAATTTCGCTCTTTTGGGTAATTGTTAAAACGAAAATGTATAAAGGCCGTTTGATATAGAATTTAAATTCCATTTTCTTTTGAACAAGAGATATAATTTTTTTTTTTTTTATGAAAATGCATTTGATAAAATTAGAAAACGAGTAAAATTCGTTTTCACAGATTTTAAATTTGATATCAAACACATTTTCAAATACTAAAATACAATTAAAAATTTTGAATCGTATTTTAGATTTTAAAAATTATTTTTGAATCAAGACAGATGGTCGGTGATACTCTTGTCTTTGGCCATACATTACACTTGGAAACCACCACAATTTTTTTAAATAAGAAAAATATAATTAATTAAATTGGATCTTTTAGGATAATAAAGTAAATAAAATACATAAATTTATGAAGCCACCTAATTAAAAAAAAATATCAACTATGAAGCAAGGCCACGTGTCCCTCTGTTCATCACATAATTTTTGGTCCCATACTTTAACTCTCTTTAAACCTAAAAAAATTATAAAAGTTGAAGCTATCAATCAACTTGTCAAAGCATAATTTGATTATATTTGATTCTGACTGTTAGATGGAGACTTAATTTTGCTTCTATAAGCAAACATATAACAGAGTGTTGCAGAAAAACAGCTGTTTTTTGTGTTTCTGAAAACAGAAATAATAATGGAAACAACTGGGATCAGAATTTCTGCCGAAGACCAGTACTATCTTCCTCTCAGAAATGGCGAAGAAGATCCAGACCTTGAAATTGTTTCTTCTGATGATTCCCGTTTGAAGCAACTTGGTTACAAGCAAGAACTCAGTCGCAACCTCTCGTGCGTTTTCTTGATCTTCTTCCTTCTTCATCGTCAACTTCTTCTCTGAATATTTCTTGATGAGTTTCAATTTTGATTTGTTGCCCTTCATTTTCATATCACCATGACATCATTTTCATATATATATAATGTGATATGCTCTTCCTGTTATTCTAAAATAATTCTTCATTTTCAAGGAAGGAGGGAGTATACAAAAGGGGGTAAAGTGTGACCTTCAACAAATAAGGGGGCCTAAGAGATATCAAGTTTTAGGGATAAAATTTATTAGTAAGTCTAGGGTCGTGAATAGTTCAACCTTGAGGGTATGCTGTATTAATACAAGTGATGTACGCTACACTTACACTATGATTGGACAAATATGTATACGTTCGACTCATAGAAAACTTTTTTTTGGTCAATTTGACATCAAATGTACTTAATTATGGCTCCCTTTATTTCCTTATTCTTATTTTATCATATTCAAAATATATGCTTGTTTCAATATTCTCAAAATCCAATCATATTATATTCAATTAAAAATATTTAGATTTTTTTAACCTCCCAGATTTATTAATTTAACTAAACACCCTCAACTAGTCACATCCAGTTGATTGTGCGTCATTCTGGAGACTTCCGACCATCATCCGACTATGATGGCCGGTTGTCAATATTTAATAGGTGGGTGAAGGTATTTTTTTTAATTTAAAAACTTTTATTGTAAAGGGTGTATAACTAAATTAACAAATATAAATAATTAAAAATAATCTTACCAAACACATTTTTAAATTTAAATCACATCTTCATAATAATAACTCAACTCAACTTTTTTTAAAATATTATTCAAAATAATAAAACAAACACAATTTATATTATTACGAGAACCCTTGAGTGATGTGGTAAGTATGCAGGGCTATATCGAACTTCTCAGTGACCTTCTCTATCATATCGGTCCTTACGGGGTTGACCACAATGTATAGTATGGGCCTGAGCTTTGGTGGGCCGGTGACTATGATATGGGGCTGGCCCATCGTGGGGATGCTTACAATGATTGTGGGTCTATCAATGGCTGAGATTTGCTCTGCCTATCCTACTTCTGGTGGGCTCTATTTCTGGAGTGCCAAGCTGTGTGGCAATGATTGGGGCCCAATTGCTTCTTGGTTCACTGGCTGGTATGTTCTTCTAGCCTTTATCTTCTTATGTTTTGGATCCTCCGCCCATGATTTTAAAGCTTGTGAATTATAATTGTTTGGGTCACATTGTTAGTTTCTGAAACTAAAGTAGTGATATGTTTTAACCCATAAATATAGGGTCATAACAAATTTTACCGGATTCTTTTTTTAATGTTTTCAAGTTTAATGAATATGTGAAATGACATTGTTAGCCTTTTCTTGGTATATTTAATGTCTAAATTAGAATTGTAGAGATCATGAGGTTAGTTTTTGAAACTGAGTGGGTGATATAATCATTAATCCGTAGATAGGGGGGCAAAATGTAAAACCACCTTAGTTTCTTATGTTTTGAGTCCATAATTTTATGGTTTGTGAGTGAAAATTGTGTTTTGGTTGGCTATTATGTTAGATTTTCTTAAGAGTAATGCTACAGTCACCGAAAGTTGCGCACCGAATCTGTGCACCGAATGACGTAGCAAAATCTTGACTGTTGATTAATATTAATGGATAATGAATCAACGGTCAGGATTTTGCTACGTCATTCGGTGCGCAACCTTCGGTGGTTCTATCACTTTCGTTTTCTTAATAGGTTTGGTTCGGTTTATATTTGTAACATGTTTCTGATTCTTGATGTGTTCGGTATAATAAGTTTGTTAGTGTACTTCTATTTTAATTGCATACCTTATCCCATCCTACCTGGTGTAGAAACTCAAAATCTCCCCAAATGTTAATGTGAGGAAGATGTAATCTTTAGACCTTTTACTTCTATTACAAGAAATTTAATCAACTAAATTATTCTTTGAAGAATCATAAATATACTATTTTATGTTATAAAAATAATTCATTTAATTATTTTAAATTCTATTCCAATTAGTTCAAATGGTCTTTCATCTCAATAATTGGTGTTGGTGCCATCACATCACATGCCCCATTGACAATTGTTTGTGCATTTGATTGGGTAATCTTTTGATTAATTAATTAACGAGTTAATTTATTGCCTCCCTAAAGTATCATTGAATGACAATGTGCCCCTTAACCCTTAGGTTTCTAAACAATTTACCCACTTTTGTCACAGAATCATACATTTCACTATTCCTCATAGTCTATTAAACTAACAATAATACTATGCTTACTCACGAACTTACTACCCGCCTTACTCACTTTTTATATATGGTACAGATACTATTCTTATGGTACCCTTACTATGCTTTATATTTACAAAGGTTAATAAGATGGTTAGTAAGTTCGTGAGTAAGCATAGCATTATTGTTAAACTAAACAGGATAACCCAAAGAGAATGTTAATTGTTATTTTTTACACCATTAGGGGGGGGGGGGGGGGGGGGGTGGGGGGGGGGGGGTGGAATTGCAATAAAACTTTTCCCCCGTGGAATTTTACGGGCATATATGATTTGTAATAAATAAAATAACAACAAAGCTACGGACACCGAAAAATCTGCACCGAAATGTGTACCGGGCCTACGTGTATCAGACGTCAGTTTTTTTTTACAATTTTTTTTTAGTGAACGGCCGTCCATCAAATTTGGACTCGTTCACTCACATGCTCCCCGTCCATATTATGGACGAGGGTCCTATATACGAGGACAGACGTCCCTATTTGAAGGACGCCTGTCCATAAATAAAATAAATAAAAAAAACTTGCAAAACATTATGGATGACGGCCATTACTTTTAGACGGACGCCCACAATAGTGGACCCCGTCCTGACCCAATATGAAACAAAAAAAATAAATAATAAATAAATTTGGGGACGGCCGTCCCTTACATTTGGACGGCGTCCATTACCCTTACATTTAGACGGGCGTCCGTTCGTCCATACTTTTAAAATAAAAAAAATTCTAAACAAAAACCCATCCTTCTTCGTCTTCATTCCTCCTCTCTTTTCTTCGTCTCAAGTTGCCATGCTGTATATAAATGTAAGCTCACTTAGACTTTCCAGTTTCATAATCTGTAACGTCTCATCACGATTCATGTTTTAAACACTCTCTGTATCCCACACGAGCTAAAATTGAATTTCTACTGAGATCTTTGCTGAAATAATATACAGTATTGGTATATGCAAAGAACCAAATAAATGCGCATGAATGCGTATTGCCATGCATGGATTTTTCAAATGGTAACCATAATCAATCTTACTTTTAACTCTCTCAAGCGTTTGTATGATGAAGAATAACTTCCATGGAAACGACTAGTCGACTGCTTTACTTTTTTATGTAAAAGTTGTCGGCAAATAGAAGAAAGAAAGCAAAGAGCATAAAGTACACAGAGACAAGAGACAATTACCAACACCAGCCCCCAAACTTCTTATCTGATAGCTTACTTGATTCTATTTTTTATTCTACTCCTTAACTCAGTCACGATGGCAACCCAAGAAGTGGAGAAGAAATCACAAGACACAGTGAAGGTGAAAGTCACCGAAAAAAACCACATCAAGCCCAGCAAGATAATAGGAAGAAGAGAATGCCAATGATCACCTTCGATCTTCCATATCTAGCTTTTTACTACAACCAAAGCTGCTTCTTTATAAGGGTAACGAAGAGTTCGTGCCATGGTTGAGAAACTCAAGACTGGTTGAAGGTTGTTTTGAAGAGTTTAATCAGCTGGTTGGGAAACTTGGGAAAGATGAAGAGGAGTTTTTAGGGTGGAGTATGACGATGAAATGGAGGGCGTTGAACTGAGTGAAGCGTGGTTGAAAAGATCAAAGTATGACGATGAAATGAGGGCGTGGACATGCAATCAGTAGTTCCGTCCATTTGCTGTTTACATAAGGGACGACCGTCCCCTAGGTGTGGACTGTCGTCCATACATAATGGACGCGACATGGAGGGCGTGGACAATGCAATCAGTAGTTCCGTCCATTTGCTGTTTACATAAGGGACGACCGTCCCCCAAGTGTGGACTGTCGTCCATCATAATGGACGAGCGTCCATTAGTTACGGACGCCCATCCAAACTTAGGGACGCCCTTCCAAACTTAAGGGACCCCGTCCACAATGTATGACGGGCGTCCACATTTTTTATTTGATTTTTTAAAACAAATTAAGTTTGGACGGGCGTCCCGTATTTGCGGACGTCCGTCCAAAATTAAGGGACGACCGTCAACAACCTATGAACGACCGTCTATAATATTTTGTAAATTTTTTATTTTATTTTATTTATGGACGCGTTCTTTAAATGAGGACGTCTGTCCCTAGTATATGAACCCCCGTCCATGTAATATAGACGGAATCCATGTGAGTGAACGCCCGTTCACTAAAAAAAATTTGATAAAAAAAGCTACGCTTGATACACTAGGCCGTACACATTTTCGATGCAGATTTTTTTAGTGTCCGTACTTTGTTGTAACCAAAACATAAAGATGGAGATTGGAGACTGCCGATATTTATGGACCGCACGATCTATAAGGCTTTTGTAATTGGGCCCATTACATTATATTTGACTTGGTACATCAAAGTCAGATTTCACTCCCTTATTTGTCTTAACTGACACACACTTCAATAAAAATTGAAAAAAAATATAAAAATAAAAATTATTTTGGAAAACCAACTAAAAATGGCAAATCCCTTCATTGCTACTGTAAAACCCAAATCTTGAAAGCTCGTGGTACGTTGTTTCAACATCGAAAACTTTTGAAGTTCTGTTTTTTTTCTGATTAAAAACTATTTTTTAATTAAAATACTTACACTCTTTGTTGTAATCTTGATTAGGGATATATCCATTTTATCTAAAATATTCTTTTGAAATTCTTTTTATTAAAAAATGATTTTTTTTGTGATATTCTAATTCGAATTATCACAGAGATTTGATTTGTTTCATGGTTTCTTACACCTGAAAATATTGCTTTCTCCTTTAACAGAAGACAAGAGAATCCATTTTGTTTAACTTCACAGCTAAGCAATTAGTCAACCATCCCCATTTTTTAATTCCAAATCCCATAATAATCCTTTTTCTAGTGCAGAATTCGAATAAACAAATTGCTTAGAATATTAACAGAATAATTGAATCTAGATAAATAAATAATAACAGAATATTAAATTTAGGCAGCTAAGCCAGTTGCAACTGGCAAGTTATAAACTATCTACTTAAATTTGTGAACAAGCTGTATGATTTGCTGCTGGCTGGCGGGCTCTGATTGACCCGGAAGCACCTTGTCCAAGAAAGTCATCTCTTTGTACAGTGCACTCAGATGCATGATCACTCTTCACACTTGTTTGAATTATTAGATTTCCTTTTTAAGAAAGCGATTGATTTATTCCGAGAAAGGAGGGAGTGTAGAAAGAGCAAAGTTTTCTTTGGTTGACCAAAAAGGGATCATTATTCTGATATTCAGGCTCTTGAGATGGCCTGGAATGGTGAAAAAACGAGGCTTCCAATATCTCGTACGGCAGCCGGTAACGTTGCTGTGGATTCTGGCCATGCCCGCCTCAATGAACTTGGTTACAAGCAAGAGCTTAAACGTGATCTCTCGTAAAAATTTCTCAACAAACCTTTTGTTGTTTGTCTGTTTGTTGTTTCTTTGTTCAGTTCATGTGGAAATATGAACTGGGTTGGCTTGGTTTTGTTTGATGTTGCAGGATGTTGTCAAATTTTGCGTTTTCGTTTTCGATTATATCAGTTCTTACTGGTATAACGACTCTGTATAATACAGGGTTGAGTTTTGGTGGACCAATTTCATTGGTTTATGGTTGGCTTATTGCTGGTGTGTTCACTATGTTTGTTGGATTGTCCATGGCTGAGATTTGTTCTTCTTATCCAACTTCTGGTGGTCTTTACTATTGGAGTGCAAAGCTTGCTGGTCCAAAATGGGCACCTTTTGCCTCTTGGATGACTGGCTGGTAATCATTTCTGGATAATTTTGTTCAAATTGGTAGTTTCTAGTTCAATTTTACATCAGCCTTTCTTTGTTTTGATTGTGAAATTTGAATGATCCTTTGTTTGGTATTTGTGCTTTGTGGAGTAGAAATGTTTGTGGAAATAAGTGTTGTTTTTGCTTATGATTTCTGGAGATTTGGTTAGTCACCATACTGGTACAAGTAAACCTATGATATGCTCAGTATGAGTTAAGTGCTTTCGTTTTTGGCTGTTTAGGTGTTCAATTTAGTTTGTAAAGCTATGAATTTGGTTACTATAGAACCCTGGTAACCTGAAAATATGCAATCAGAAGGGCTGTGTTGCTCCTAATAGTTTTTTTTTATTTTTTTAATCACGAACAGTGAAACAATTAACAAATTTGCATATGTTCATCACGAATTTCTCTGGTTGAGACTCTCCCACACCTAACACTCAAGCCCAAGTCTGTGGAAACACACCTTGAAAATATCGCTCCTTTGTTTGAAGTAAAGCTACTTCTTTTGGAAAATATTCTTTAATGGTGACTGGATCACACATTATTTTAACTGTTTTGAACTAGCTTATCCATTTTTGAGATACAACAATAAATGACACCGAGAGTAGAATGTTCGGTGTCATGCTGTTATTGTCCTTCTAAATATTGCCAATCTGATTGTCCTGCAATTGCATCTTCTAATGCATATGCCTTTACTTTTGTTCTTCTCGCAGGTTCAACATTGTTGGTCAGGTATGAGAATCGATATTCTGGGAGCTTTATTTTCTTTTTTCATTTGATAAAGTGAAACTTAATTTGATGTCATATTCATGTAATCTACTTTGAGTACTAATTTTTGGGCCCTTTTATTTGCAGTGGGCTGTCACAACTAGTATAGATTTTTCACTGGCACAGCTGATTCAGGTGATTATACTCCTTAGCACAGGTGGAAAAAATGGTGGTGGATATGAGGCACCTAAATATGTAGTTATCGCTTTCCATGGGGGAATTCTGCTTGTACACGCTATAATAAACAGTCTTCCTATCTCAGCATTATCATTCTTCGGACAGCTGGCTGCTCTATGGAATCTCGTAGGTATGAAAAATTTCTAGCAATTTCTCAATGCTCTGGCTTAAAGTAGCATCTTGTTTTGATTTGCAATGAATCTTGGCTTTTTAGGTGTTCTGGTTCTCATGATTCTCATTCCCACTGTTGCAACGGAGAGGGCTAGCGCCAAGTTTGTGTTCACTCACTTCAACACTGATAATGGAGATGGAATCAGTAATAAAGTCTATATATTTGTTCTGGGACTTCTAATGAGTCAGTACACGCTTACTGGATATGATGCTTCTGCTCATATGGTAAGTTCACACACAATAAACAACTGCTATACTTGATTTTCAAATTGCTGATTAACTGTAACATATCTACTATTTGGTCATCTTTTCTTAACAATCCTTTAGAAATTTGGCCTTTTTCTTATCTGTTAATGGCTTATTGATCAATCAGAAAACTGAAACTTAAATCATCCCCTTTAACTCAAACTTCTATTTCTAGACAGAGGAAACCAAGAATGCGGATAAGAATGGACCAAAGGGCATAATTAGTTCCATTGGCATATCTATTATTTTTGGATGGGGTTACCTACTTGGTATCACCTTTGCAGTTACCAACATCCCATACCTTCTGAGTGAAGATAATGATGCTGGTGGTTACGCCATTGCTGAAATATTTTACCTGGCATTCAAGAGTAGATTTGGCACTGGAGTTGGGGGAATTCTTTGTTTGGGAGTGGTTGCTATTGCCATATTTTTCTGTGGCATGAGTTCAGTAACAAGCAACTCCAGGTACACTTGCTTTTGTATCGAATTCTGCTTAAACAGGATATTCTTACATAGTTACTGATTACGCTTAACATTCATCCTCAGGATGGCGTATGCATTTTCAAGAGATGGAGCAATGCCATTCTCTTCTGTTTGGCACAAAGTGAATAAGCAGGAGGTTCCCATAAACGCAGTTTGGCTCTCTGCAGTTATATCATTTTGCATGGCACTAACAGTATGCACCTCTCTTTCTCTCAGACACACATGCCTTTTTTGTATTTAAGCTGTGAAATCTGCTTGTATCGATCTCTTGCTGCTCTTGTTGCTTTCAACTGCTAATTGCATACCTGTTTCTTGTTAATCTTTTGCAGTATCTTGGAAGCACGGTGGCATTTCAGGCCATGGTCTCTATTGCAACTATTGGACTGTACATTGCTTATGCCCTACCCATCTTCTTCAGGGTGACTTTGGCACGCAAGTCCTTCATCCCTGGACCTTTCAACTTGGGTCGTTATGGCGTCCTGGTTGGTTGGGTTGCCGTCCTATGGGTGGCAACAATCTCAGTCCTCTTCTCATTGCCTGTAGCCTACCCCATTACCAGCGAGACGCTCAACTACACTCCTGTTGCAGTTGGTGGCTTGCTCGTTCTTACCGTTTCTTCTTGGATTTTTGGTGCTCGCCATTGGTTTAGAGGTCCTATAACCAACATAGATAGCTGATACTTTATACATGTAGTACAAATTGATTTTAATTCTTTCGAGCATAAGAAAATATGATCGATTTCTCAACCATCTCCGGCAAGTCTTTTGTTCTCTATATTTTATGATGATTTGGAATCTGTGTTTACATGAATTGCTATTTGCAAACAAATGTAATCAATTATGAGATCATTAAATTAGAAAATTATAAGATCCACTGTTCTCAAACTTGAGACTTACGCTGATCATGAACGAAAGTCTTAAAGTTTTTACTGGCTTTTCGTTATAGAGAAAACATCTGCAAAGTGCGATAAAGCTATCTCTTGTTATATATGTCTATCTAGCTTTGAATCATCTTGATGGCATGAAGATCTCCAGCAAACGCTGATAAAGATTTCGCATCATTTATGAAGCTTCTCATGCTGGGTCTACATGAACAAAGATAACGGAAAATATATCAGTACAGATTCTAATTTATCTGAAGTTGAACACATATTTTTCTAATTACACTTACTGAAATGTGGCGGAAGTTGGTTGTTTCCAAGTAAAGCTTCTGTTAGCAATACATAGTATCGATCGACATCATTTGGATTTACTCCATCGCCTAGACCTGTGAATTCTTCTACCTCTTCATCAAGCAACTTCGCTAGATTAGCAAATTCTGTTGAAGCCTCGGTTTGATTGACTGAGCCAGCAGCTGGAGGGGTCGAAATCGCGACAGCATTCACTTCATGGTTCTGAGGAATTGTGAAGTCCGTTGGAGATTTTCCTAAATTAGGCATACTGCCTGAGCTGCATTGTCCTGGCAAAATATATTTATTTTGTAGTTTAAATTGATAAATAGAATTGCTAGAAAAGCTGAAAAAATGCAATCTGAGACTAGTCACAGCATTTGGAGGATTAGTGAAATTACCTCCGAAACCAATTGCAATGCTGCAACTTCTAAGTCCTCGCTGACATCCCGATGGCTTGATCATCTTCTCATGCGGTTGCCCTGATATTTTACTGTTGCCATGGATGCGTGGTGATCTTTTTCCTGAAGGTAAATCAGTGCTGGCGCCATTCTCAGCATTGCGCTTAGCTTGAGTTAATTTGTATTTCTTGAAGGATACAGAAATGGTCAGTGAAATAGCTATCTCCAATGCAACAAAACAAATTATAACATTCATTAATTACTCCTTAATTTATCTTTTCAAAACAAGAAAAAAATACAGGTGCAAGAATTGAGAAAACCCTATTTCAGAAGTGAAGTTGGAAGAAGAAATTACCTGTAAATGGCTGGCAACCTGGCGTTGGGTCAAATAAGGCACATTCATCAGCTTCAATATTTGTTTTGGACGAGCCTCTGGATCCAAAAATAGATGAAGAAAATACAGGAAAATGAGTGAAAAAAAAAAAAGAGGAAAAATATTGCACAACACAAATAGCTTCCAGAGCAAGTAATGTTACTTCTGTTCTCAAGTGCCTTAAGAGCTGCAGTAAACTTGAGATGAAGCTCCGGAGTCCAGATAAACCGGCGAGACTCTTTCTGGCCGGAGCTTGTATTATTCTCAAACATCTCTTTCTCTAGTTCCTCGATGTTGTCACTCATTAATTCTTTCTCTATATCCTTAATAAGTTTCATATCATCATAATTTGTACGTTCAGAGTCTTGTTTAGCTTTCTTCCCTCTTCTTTTTTCTACTTCGTAGTTGTACAACGATCTCTTTTTCCCCTTACTCTTTTCATCAACTTGACCTGCTTCCATGACTTGCTTATTCTTCCCTTTTGGATCAACATTGATGCGTTGATAATTAGTGCTGTATTGCAAATCACTTGCCTCTCGGATCATCTTTTCATTACTCCACATTTCTCGGTTTCCTTTTCGAGGTTTGACTCTCGACTTATATACATGTTGCCACAAGTACTTTAAATCATCGAAAGAGATAGGTTTTTCGAGAAAAAATGATGCCCCTTCATCTAGGGCTTTACTAGTAGCACTCAAACTTCTTTCAGAGGCAATCACTGCAAGTTAATTATAGAAACAAAAATTCAGTACTTGAAAGAGAATATATATGAAATAAACAGTAAATAAATTTGATTTAAACTCACAAATGACAGGGATTTCCTTCTTGATCAACACTCGGAGGAATGAAAGACAAGCCATGTCAGGCATATTAACATTAGCAATGACCAGTTTGAATCGACCTTCTTCTTCGTTAATCATCGACAGAGCAACAGATGCAAGCTCAGTGGTGGCAACTGAAAGAAAATTATCAGATTCTATCATTGCTACCACCATATTGAAATTATATTCAATAACATTATGTAAAGAAGTTGCATACTATTTAACCTATATTATATTAATATTGAATTTATGCAATATCTATATACAAATATAAACATATTAATCAGGCCAACAAAAATTTACTATAGTTAGATAATATATATAATATTAAAGATCGATCGATGCATGATATGAATATATGTTTTCAATGATCGATGCACTATTTATATGTATTTTTCAGGATTGATGCATGATATAAATGCTTTTTTTTTTTTTTTTGATGCTCTAATTTCTTCTTATACGATTCAAAAGAAATCCAATTTGTTGAGAGGAGAGGCAACATAAACAAAATAAGAAAAAAATACATATATATTGGGCATCGATCTTGAAAAATAAAAAATCCATATTGAAATTATGCATTCAATAAGATTATGTAAAGAAGTTGCATAATATTTAACCTATATTATATTAATATTGAATTTATGCAATATCTATATACAAATACAAACATATTAATCAGACCAACAAAAATTTACTGTAGTTAAATTATACATATAATATTAAAGATCGATCTATGTATGATATGAATATATTTTTTCAATGAGTTGTTACACAATAGATATGTATTTTTTCAAGATTGATTTATGATATATATGTTTTTTTATGCTCTAATTTCTTCTTGTACGATTCAAAAGAAATCCAAATTGATGAGAGGAAAGGCAATATAAACAAAAAAAGAAAAATATAACCAACATTTACTAAGCATTTATTTCAGAATAAAATGGAAATAAACTAAGTGATTAAAACATATAACAAATCAGACTTTCAACCAGTTCATCCCTGACCCTGAGTAAATTAATCTGCATAATTTGTTCTACTTTCAGACTTTATTGGGGTTAATTTTCTCTATAATTAACTCAATTTCTCTATAATTAAAATCATGCACATATATTTTTGCTTGCATGCACTATATTAAATAAATGATCAAATATAAAATCTATAATTGAATAACATTCAACATGTTCTGGGAGAAGATCAGATTATGATAACCAAAATAAAATCAAATGAAATTTAGCATTTAAAATAATATTAATTAATTAAATTTAATTCTATGTACCCTTGTATGAATATTGTTCAAGCATTGAAGCTAGATACATGAGAGAGGTCGTATCATAATCCACCAGCAAGATATTGAGTCCTCTTGCAAAGCTAGGAACCATCATATTCCTGCCGTCGTTCATCGTCGTCATCACATCCATTTTTTGGAAGCAGAAACACAGAAAACAAAAATAAAAACAGACTCTTACTGAGTATCAGTGAGAAAAAGAGAGAGAAAATGGAAGTAAAAATACTGAAACGCATGCAGCTTTTCTCTTTATTAATGACTGAAAATCAGTGGGGCTTTATGGTGTAAACACCTTGCATTGCAGCGCATGAATTTCGGGGGGTGTTTTTAAAAACACGTAAAACAAAAACAAAAACCGAGTGAAAGTGTTTTCAGTAAGGGGCACGTAAGTTGCTGCAGCGAATGGGCGTGTGACACGTGGGGAGAAATTGCCTCAATTAGGGCATAATTGACTTCAACAGTGTGGTTTCGCCTATTGACCGTGGTAAGAAACGAGCACACAGAGAAAGTAATTAATTGATTAATTATGTCAATTATTTGATTAATAAATAGGCTGTTTTTGGCAATTTCATTATGTGTATTAGTTCGTTGAACCAATGCACTTTGCTCATGCTCTCTTATTATAATTTTACAGTTCATAAATTGACAATTAATAATATAGTTAAAATCAGTTAATTAAGAAGAGAACATTTACTCTTTATACTTATATACAGTAAAACCTTTCTATAATCATAATGGTGAGACTAATTAATTTTATTACTATAAAGAGATTATAATTTAATAGATGTATTTCTTATTTTATAATTCATGTTTTAGTAGTACAGTATTATGATTTCAATTTATGTTTTAATAGTATTATGATTTCAATTTAGCGTTTTAATTGCCTACTTTTTAAACGAATAGAAGATCGTGTTTTAAAATCAACAAAGATAAGTATTCTTGATAAAATTGTAAATACAATTGCTGCATAGTTAAGCTGATGTGAAACCACAGACAATTGCTAATTGTTTTAAGCATTACAAAATTAGGACCCCTGATGTCGATGAATTGTAAATTATAAATAAAGCGGATGAGAAGAATAAAAAAGTCACTGCAGAATTGAGTGATCAGATTTGACAACTTCACTACATTAATTGAATGAATATTAATTGTCTTCCTCAGTCATTCAAATGAGCAACAAGTGATACTTACTTTAACTAAAGAAGAAATCATTGCTACAATTACACAAGAAAATAAAGGAAATAATCGTGAGGATGATAGTACGGAAATATAAAAAGTTTCGTGTCAAGAAGCTTTAAACATACTTGAGAAGTTATAAATAGTTTGGCTTCAACAAGAACGTGTCCATGCTAGCGAGTAATGTACTCGCAAGTTAAAAGATTTGGTAACAATTTTAAAGTATAAATCATTCTTCCAACAATTTTAAATAAATATTTTCTTTCATCTTAAACATTTAATGTAACAAATAATATATATATATTTTTTTGTAATATACACATAATTATTACTATGTGAAGACAACTTTCCTTAAGACGAGAATTAAAAAAATTAAAACTTATTATAATGTGGAGTTTATTTTTATTTATAACTATCTCAAGTTGGGAATATAATTTTTTATGACTACGTAAAGTTTATTCTTATATAGAGTATCACTATAGAGAGGTTTTACTGTATCATCTAATGAAAATATCGGTTTATAATTATTTAGGATTTCGATATGACAATCGATAGTATAACCAAAGCATATTAGTATAAACGTACAAATATATTTAAATAAAAATAACGAATATTTAAAAAATTTTAGTTCTTATTTTAACTTATAGTTGGTAACAACCATTGTTTTAAAACCTGGACTGGAGGGCAACCCGGGTCACGTGTCAACCGGTTGGACCGGCTGGTTGGGTCGATGACGTCGGCGACAATTTTATTTTTTAAAAATCACATATTAATCCCTTAAATTTTATATATTACAAAAATTCTCATAAAAAAGTTCAAATTAGTCCCTAAAATTTTTATTTATTTTCCCCCAAAAATAATATATCCAAAATATCCCTATAAAATTACAAATTAACCCTTANAGGATTTCGATATGACAATCGATAGTAAAACCAAAGCATATTAGTATAAACGTACAAATATATTTAAATAAAAATAACGAATATTTAAAAAATTTTAGTTCTTATTTTAACTTATAGTTGGCAACAACCATTGTTTTAAAACCCGGATCGGAGGGTAACCCGAGTCACGAGTCAACCGGTTGGGCCGGCCGGTTGGGCCGATGATGTCGGCGACAATTTTATTTTTAAAAAATTACATATTAATCTCTTAAATTTTATATATTACAAAAATTCCCCTAAAAAAGTTCAAATTAGTCCCTAAAATTTTTATTTATGTAATGCCCCAAGAAATTATGATTAATCCCTAAACTTTTGACACATCTCCAAAATACCCCTACAAAATTACAAAGTAACCCTTATAATTTTGAAATATTATAAAAACTCCCTAAGACCTAAACCGGACCGGAGAAGCTGCCGTATCCCGGTCCAACCGGCTGATCCGGTCCGATTTTTAAAACAGAGGTAACAACTAGGTATTTATGTCAAGATATTTATTATTACTTGAGCAACTCCCTTAATTATTTGTTTCTTTGGAGTTTGAATTCTATGAACATATTCATTTCATAAAAATATTGCCTTATTTGATAAATAATTTTGTTTCTTTGAGTTTGAAATAACCATTATACTCTTAATCGAGTAGTTTGGGGTAACATTGTTATTTTTCAAAACCTCTGGGGGGGAATAGTTAGTAATAATTAGTCAGTAATTGGGCGGAATGACTTTTATACCCTTAACCGATTAGTTTGGCTGTTTGGGGTATCATTTTGTTATTTTTCAAAACCTATGGGTAATAAAGAAACTATGGGGGTGTCAAAGTAATTAGATAGTATTTGGGCGGGATTATAATGAATCATCGCGCGGGGCGAGTTGAGAGAGAAGAGAAAGAGAAAAGATGGTGAGGCTCGCCGATTTTCAATTCAAAGTTTGATATAAAAAATCTAGGGTTTTGATTTATCGAACTGAGAATTTAATTGGATTATTTGTAGGAAAAGAATTTGACTGAAGCTGAAGACTTGGAGCCCTTGTTCGACTACAGTCGAGTTCAGCCTTTGAAGTTCACCAACCTCGACGGTAAGAATTAATTATGGCTAAAAGTTAGAGTATTGCACAAATTGCAGCGTCATTAGCAATTTTATAATTTTAAAAGTTGATTTTTTCTGGATTGTACAGATGTCGAATCGTCGCCGGATTCGTCGAAAAAGCGGCGGAAGAAATCGCTTTCCGTTGTAAGAATGTCTAATTCAATATTTACTGTCTAGTTTTAACAAATTATTTTATGGGAAAGTGGATTATGGATGTAAGTGAAGGAGTTAATAATGAGTTTGTTTAATGTTAATGTGTATGCTTTTTTGGGGAATTAATTTGGGGATTAGGTTGAGAAGAAGGTTAAAGTTGATGTGAAAGAATTAGAAGTCGTGAATTGCGAGGAGGAGGAGGAGGAGGAGGAGGATTGGCTACCTCCACCGCCGAAGGTTTTGGTTGAGAATCAGCTGGGTGAGGATTCAACTATCAAGGAGTTAAGGTATACCCGAATTGATGGTTCTGAAAATGCAGTTATATATTTTGCTGTTAGAGTTGTTGAATTTGACTTTTTGGTGATACGGGTTGAAATATGTTGATTACTATGTTATTGTGAATTTTGCCACTTGTATTGGTGGAGAAAAGGATCACATATAATTGTCAAATCGAAATGCTTTTGAACATAGATGATTGAGAAAAGAACAAAAAGGAAGAACCTATTGTATTATCACATTCAATTAAAACAGTTGACTTTGTTTGTCCTCGTTTGTCATTATTTGAACCCGCTTTTACCTGTTAATTTGCCGTAATGCAGGTTAAAGAGGCAAGAGTTGGTGTCATTTGCTAAAGCAGCTGAAGATGTGCTGCGAGATGCAGAGGAGTCTGTGAAAAGAAAACTTGGTGATTCATTGGAAGCTTCATTTGGGAGTGTGGCTGATCAGCCATCAAAGCTTCCTTGTGAAAGAGCTAAAATAGTTATTTCTATGCAGGACAAGGAAGGACCCAAGCAATTTCGTGTGTTCATGGTACAAGTTTACACAGAATGTTTGGAGTTATGTTATTGGTATAATCTGTTTGTTTATCTCTCAAGTAATTTGTTTCAAATTATTGGCTTGTGGATAGTAAATAGAGATCTAACTGTCTGCTATGGACTTGCTTGTTTCTGGAATCTTCATGTTCACATGAAATCTTGTGCCCCTGAATTTTCTTGATGTAGACTATGCATTAAAATGGAAATAAAGAGATGGTAAAATTAATGTTGGGAGTAAAATCTTTATGTGAAATGCTAGAAGATCATATCTAGAATGTCCCTCTTAGGGCCCTGCAGAGGCAAAAGTAATATTGGGTGTTGTACCTTTTTTTTTTCCTTTGTATTCAATAGTTTACATTTAATGTGTTCTAGATATTGTCTATTTCTTGTTTCTACATGCAAATGTCGTTGATTGTTGAATAAGAAAATTTCGCTCTTCTATGCATTAACACTCTCATTTTTTTTCTCCTTTTTTCTTTTTCAGTATCTTTGATATCTTGATATTATGGTTTATGTGAAACTTCTATTTCTATAGGATGACAAGTTTGAGCGCCTCTTCAAAATGTATGCGGATAAAGTTAAGCTTGACACTAAAAACTTAGTATTTTGTTTCGATGGGGACAAAATTGGTCCAGCATCTACTCCTGCTAGCCTTGGAATGGAGGACGATGACATTATTGAAGTCCATTTGAAAAGCTGACTGTGGTATGATATCACTGTATTTGTGCTTGAATACACTTTAAAATTGTGGCATATGTTTCTTGATCCCAAAGAGTTCTCATTTTTATATCGACTTTTTATGAACACATCTTGTTACATGCATTTGGGAAAGAAATCAGATTTCAGTAAAATAGGATTCTTCAAGAAGTAAGGTGTGTGACTGTATGTGATGGATTGTTTAGGGCTCAATACCAGCAGTGGCTGTTGTTAAAGACTCTTCATGTCTTGGGTTGGGTAACTTTTGTATCCTTGTTTGTTAGAATTTAATTGAAGGGAGACAAAATTCAGAACTAATATTTAGATTGATGCATTTAGTATTTGAAATGTTCAATGGATTTTCTGAGATGCAACTTCAGGTACTCTGCGGAAGTGAGTTGTTTTTGTTATGTTTTGAAATATCATCAAACTCCAATTAGCAGTCTTAAGTTACAGGGGAAAATCAGTCATGCTTGATAAAGCAGGTTGTTGATTGACTGCATCATCAAGAAAAGTTATCCTCTCAACGTGATCTATCTGCTCTAGCATGTTAGGGTAGTTGTTAAAGAGAATACCATTCTGATTTAGGTTGATGTTTTGGAAACTTGGGTTGAGAGGAAAGAAATATTATCTAGGTGCTAGAATTTAGTGTATGGACTGATCTTAATATTGTAGGGAGTTCATTATCTCTTTGCATGCCCTTCCTTGATATGCCTCATACACTGTCTTTATCCCTCTTTGTTGAATTTCTTCTTTCTTGATACTTGGGTTTGTGGGAGCATGAGTAGAGTGTGTGCTTTTTATATTACCACACCATTTACTGTAAAAGTTGTCTGCATAGTTTTTCCAATTGTCATTTGCTTGTATTTCATTTCTGGTTTTGACATCAACTATGGCAATTTTTTTGACTTTTTGTAAGTTAATGAGCTTTGTAGTTCCTCCAATCTCTTATTGCTCCTTTTTGTGATTCAGGTTGTTGCCCTGCCAGAGTGTTGACTCAGTGTGTGTTTCCTTCTGGGAGATAGATTGCCTGCAACTGTGAATCTATCTCCAGGTCTTTTGCCATTATCAATGTTATTTTTTTGTTGTGTAACAATTTTGATTCCTCAACTGTACAGTACCATTCAAATTCCTGAACAGTCTAATTATGGAGACATGGTTGAAGAGAAACGAAAAAAAAAAAAAAAAAAACAATGCTTGTTTGATCTGTACTTTTGTAATTATGTATTGTGAACTTGTTTGTTTGGAACAGGATTACTGCCTAATAGCTTTTCAGGAAATTTTGGACTTGGGTATGTGGATTGCTTGGCACATTCCTTATTTCCCAATGCCATGCGACTAACATTTGACTGTAGATTCAAATTGTACAATAGTGATGAGGAAACCACGTTACCATTGCTGGTTGATTCGACTCAGATTATGAGTGTGTAGTATGGAAATCTCAGAACCCCTTTTCCTAACATTGTTAGAGTCTACTACTGTTCTACAGGGAACATTGGACCTTCCTCCTGGAACTGAGATTTGGTTTCTTGACTTAGCATTGTAGTCAGAATTTTCTAATATGTGACTTGTTTTGTGGTCTGCAAAATGTAGATAGTTACATTGAGAATCAAATTCCATATCTTTATCAGCATGCTGCAACCTCATTTAGAATGCTTTATGAGGGTTGAATAGCCACCAACTTGTGCCAAAAAGTGCTTTTTGTTCTCTTACCAGAATTACAGATCATGTTCTTTGTTTTGTCAACTTGGTTAGGCACGTTGCAGAAGAAGCTTTGGGTGGGAATCGACACTGACCTACCTTACAAAGAGTACGAGGATTCTAGGTAAATTTCTTGACCTTTACCAAATCAAAGTTTGAGATTTTCTTCTTAATTGGTAGAGCCTCTTCTGTGTAATAATGTATTGTCCTTGAAATTTGGGCATTATACTTTTTTTTTTTCATGTTAATTTAATGACATTTAAGGATGTATTTGTTTTTTTTTTTTTTTTTTTTATACAACTTCATAGAGATATAGAGGATTTTTTTATTATATATAAAAAAAAAAAAATCTAATTGCTCTAGTTTTAAAATTAAGTATGTGCCTTAATTAATCTGTCCATTAAAAGAGGGTTCATTGAATATCCTATCAATCCAATGGGTCAAATAAGTTACAAATATGGTAAATAACTACTTTGTAGGACTTGAGCACTTTTGTATAACACATATGGATAAAGTTAAGGCTAATGGTTAAATTGAGTTTGTAAAGCAGGGTAGGAGACTTTTTAATTATTAAAAATGAATAGTAATTCATATTTGATTTTCATTGATAAATTGGCTGTTTTGAATTAAATGAGTGCACCTACTTCCAACAAAAAATTGGCGGAAAATGATATTTGATATTAATATCAAAATTATATTTTATAACGTTGTAATTTATTCATTGAAGATTAGGTGATCGTGATACCAATAAATCTGAGCCGTTAAACTCTGTAGCCGTCAAAAGGGAGTGATGGTGACACGTGGTGGACATTGATTGGGGAAGCAGGTAAAGTTTAGGATCACATGATGATCTGTCTATAAGTCGAACACATGGATAACATCGAAGGGCCCCACGTCTCCCACTACGTGTCCACTGCCACGTAAGCAAAAAGTTCACGCTCTAAACTCACGTCAGCTCAAAAAGGTAACCAACCCAAGCACACACACAGATAAAGGAAAGAAGATAGAAGCAAAAACACAAAGAAGAAGAGAAAGAGAAGCTAATTAAGTAACTTCTACAGATTCTTTCACTTTCTCTGACAAGGGTTTGGTTTTTTCTCGGGAAACAAACGCTGTATGTACCTACCTACCTTAGTTTAATTTTTAATTTTTTTTTTTTTTAATTCTTCTTTTCATCAGCTTATGATTATAGCATGTCCATGAATTATTATTTCCATATCTAGTAGTAATAATATATATTTGGATTAATCTGTTAGCTGGTCTTGATCTTTGAAGGGTTACCAGAGGTGAATTTTGTAAAATTCGGGGAGTTGAATATGTGATTTTCATGTTCTTAAGCTTGTTTAAAGTGAGACTTTGTGTTAATCAACTTTGTTAATCAAGGGTGTTTATAGTTTTTCAGTAGCTGCAGGCAGCATGCCCCCATATTATTTTGAATAGAAACCTTTTAGGAAGGTTGAAGGATTGGTTTAAGGAAGCACAATTTTTTTTTTTTTTTCTAAGTATGTTTTCAATTATGCCACACTCTTGATTTTGAAGATGTTAGTTAATACACACCCTTAATTTTGATGTTAAAATATAATAGGTTCTTGATTTCATGCTTGAATTTGAAAATTTTCTTATTATGAGTTCCATCTTGGGGTTGGAGTTGAAACTTGAAAATAGTGAACATAGCGTCTGGGGTTTTTGTTTGAAGAGCAAATTTTTTTTTGTTGGTTGTGATCTAGTGTTTATGCTGTTTGATATTTTGATTCAGATCTTGGTAAATGTTGCAGAGCTCCTTTTGTTGGAAAAGACAGTGTATGTATGATTTCGCGATATCATAAACGTGCAACTGAATTCTGAAGTTTAGGAGTTTTTGTCGTTAGAAAATTAGAAATGGAGAAAATATGTGAATTCTGCAAAGCATTTAGGCCAGTTGTTTATTGCAAGGCTGATGCAGCACATCTTTGTCTTTCCTGTGATGCGAAGGTCCATTCAGCTAACGCACTGTCCCACCGGCATCTCAGAACCCTCCTTTGTGACTCATGCAGAAACCAACCAGCTTATATTCAGTGTTCAGATCATCTAATGCTTATGTGCCATGGATGTGATCAGAGTCTGCATGATGTTAATTCCAAACATCAGAAAAGGGCTATCAGTAGTTACATGGGATGCCCTTCTGCTAAAGATTTTGTGACACTGTGGGGTTTTGAGTTAAGGGAGTTGGAAAGTAGTGATTTTCAGAATCAGTTTCCTTCCACTTCATGTGGTCCTTCGGATCCAAGTGCAGATAATTTGGATATTTCAGGACAGTCTTCTCCACAAGTTAAAGGCTTTTCCATTAAATCTAAAGTGAGTTCTGCAACTTCAGTCTCAGGTGCAGAGCCTGAAACAGGATCAAGCAGTCAAAGAAGTCAGGTGTGCTGGATTCAGTAACCTTCAATTAAATATATGCTTATCTTAATTTTGATTTTTGGGTTTCATAATAAAATTATTGAAATAGTAGTTTCTCGAACATCTTCTTTCATTGAAGAAGTTTATACCCCTGGAATATTTAGTATCAGTAGCCAAGAAATATCTTTCAAATTTGGAAGGTCCCTCGAGTTTGTGCAGTCCTTCAGTGGTAGAGAAGGTCTAGTTTTCAAATTGAGATTTAGTCAAAAGTTCATATAGAGAATTTCATCAATATATAATGCAGTCAATCATGTTATCTTTGTATGAATTATAACTTGAACAACCTGACATTTTTTCTAATTGTAAACAAGAAACAGGGTTCTGGTTAACATGCCAGAATAATTGGCTAGAGAGACTTGCTGCTGCTGCAGATGATGATGAGGGTCATTTGCAAAATGTACTAAAAATCAAATTTCCACCTTATAATTGAGTTGCAACCTCATTTGTTATGTTGATGAATCAACTATAAGGATCATTAAGAGTTTTGAATGTGGAATAAAATATTCTTCTGTGGTTATACTCAATGCCAACCTCATTAATGCAAACAAGTGCCACTGATGTTTTTCCAAATGCGGTTACGTGATTTAAACACATGGAAAAGTTTTTCTATTTAAGTTATCTTCACTCCTGTCTATCTGAAGATCACATGACTTTTTTCTCGTCTTGCAGATACTTTGTGAAGGTGAACAGCAGCAAAACACTTCTGTTATTCTGCGACAGATTCTTGACTTGAAAAGACTTCACCTAACTGAGGGAAATAGCCGTTTGCCTATTATGAGTCACCAAGAAGAATGTGAAACTTCTTCAATACATTACCCTCCAAAGGAGCTTGATGAATCTCTTGAACAAGATTTAAAGCATCTTCAATCCCAGGATTTGGCTACTGATCTTCAACAAAGTGATGATACAATTCAAGAGCTGACAGTTGATCGTTTGCTTTCACCATATTCCGAACTGGACCATGTACCCTTGGCGCCAAGCACTGGGATGCCGTTCAATGGAGAATCCTTTTGGCAATGCAAAAGTCCAGTTCAAAGTAATCAGGTTTGGCCAAATCATCCCTAGTCATTCTATTGTATCATTAACAGCAGATCACTTGATTTTTTTCCAGTTATTGATAAATCATCACCTAAAAGTGTCCTGAGAATGATAGTTTCTCTTAAAATAAGTTTTTATATATATAGTGTTTTATCTCTTAATGGACTCTTTGCATGTATTAATGTTTATTGTGCAATTAAGTACCTAAACAAGATGATTGATTTTTGCTAAAGTCGATAACTTAATTGTTCGCATAGTTTTCAATGTATCTCTGCTTATTCAAAAGCAATTCATTATAGAGTTATTGCACGATGGTCTCGCTTAATTGACTTTTTAAGTCATACTACAACTACATGTCTGTAAGCTGATTACTTGTTCAGTTGTTCTAAATTAATTTGTAATTATCTTCACATCTTGCTTATACACGTTAACAACAATAAGATGCTTCTATACTCGATGTCTGATACTAGCTGGCTTTTATGGTTTTTCAATCTTTCAAGTTAACTTTTTAGTATTTGTTGGTTCGTTTTTGTAGTTGTGGTCTCAAAATATGCAGGACCTTGGGGTTTGTGAAGATATTTCATGTAATGGTGAAATTGACATACCTGATGTCGATGTGACATTCCCAAACTTTGAAGATCTATTTGGTGGTGATCAAGATGCAACCCGAGCAAAGATTGATGATAAATATGTATCATGCATCTTCGGGAAGAATCCGTCCATTCATAAATCAGATAAAGGCAATGCAAGAGTAATTGAGGTTTGAGTCATGACCCTTTTTCCTTCCCAACTTTTTTCTAAATGGTTGGAGTTCTCAATATATCAATTTAAATGCACACTTCTCTCCAACCCAACATCCCTCCTCAACCAAAAAGAGAAAAAAAGAATAAGGAACATAGTATTAAAATTAAGAACTACTGATGTACAAAGCAACTTTGCTGTGATATTTGAACAAAAAATTACAACGAATGTCTTTCTTGTAACTGAAAATTCTGAAAAATGTGCTAGGAAGGCCAAACAACATATATTTATTGAATTCATTCATGGAACCTTCTGGTTTTGTGGAAATGCCTTTTCTAATTTGAATTGTTTGGTTGCTGTCATGGCAGGATGTCTCCATGGCTTCATCTGTTTATATCTCTCTCTCAGCTCAAATGGACAATGATACCAAACAAATTGATAATTATCTGGGAAACATTGATTCTCCTCGTGCAATTCAACCATCTTATTCAGCTTTGTCCTACTCTATGTCAAGGTTCAGCATTGAAAGCAGTGGTACTGATTGTCTCAATAGCAGACAGTCGCCTAATACTGGAGGAGAAGCTTCATGCTATTCTCCTGACCTTGAGTGTGCCCATTCAGAGGCCAGAGAAAATGCAATGATGAGATACAAACAGAAGAAGAAAACAAGATTGTAAGTAATAGGTTTCTCTGAAATGCTTATCAAGGATTTTCTGAGGACTCCATTATTATTCTTTTCTTATTATGCTCTCTTACAGTAAATGTCTCTTCAATTATTCAGGCATGAGAATCAAATTCGATATCCATCTCGGAAAGCCAGAGCTGATGTACGAAAGCGGGTAAAGGGCAGATTTGTAAAGACAGAAGACTGTGATTCGGATACCGCCTGAAGCTATTGAACTTTGTGTGCCTTGGTTCTGTACATATATATCTGTTCAAAATTGGAATTGGCATTCGGCACCCTGTTACCCTCTTGTTAACATTTCAATTCAACCAATTCTTTCAAGTTGTCTTGTATAGTTTTTGGTTCTGATCCAAGAGCTGAGTTTGTAATATGTAACTTTCTATCTTGTAATCTTACTCCACTTTTCTCCAACAATTGAGTACCATTTCTGAAACATTTATGGAGAAATATGCACTTCTTGCAGGTTGTATTTACAGATTTCATGTTTACATATTGCCCTCCATGGCGCCTGTCAACCAGTAGATCAGCATCCAAAAATTATGTTTTGCATATGTTTGTATACAACTGTAGGTATAATGTTAAATAATCACTTGAACTAAAAGCTTAAGTTAGTAGGTACAGTTTCAGGCGCAGTCTGGTATAATACAAACCCTTTAATGTATAATTAAGCAAGTAAACAAAAGAAAGTTTTGGGAATTCATAAAGTATCTTGCTAGACCCACCATTGGATAGTTCAAGTGGTAAGACGAATGTTGGAATGTGTGGTTAAGGTGCATTGTGTCAGAATCAAATCTCCCTAGCTCTCAAGATTTAAGCAGGTGATTATGGCAGTGGGATGCTATGCTAATCATCTACTAGAATTAATTGAGGTGTAAACAAACTGGCCCAAACACCCTATTTCAAAAAAATAAAGTGTTTAGCTAGATTAGGTAAAAATCAACAGTCAATTCATTTAATCTGCAAACAACTAAGTTTATAATTACCTTAACCAAAGTGAAAAGGACTCATACTGAGCTGCATTTAGAAAAAAATAATAATTGAAAGCTACACATTTTGCTTTGCTTACTACCCACTGACCCCTTGCCATGATTATACCCAGCAACAGCTGCATGAGAAAAACACATGGCCAAACTGTAATGAAAATGAAATACAAACGTCAAAAAAACTTTATTAGTCCACATTTGGTCAGTATAATAATCCCCATGAGATTCAAAAAATAACAAGAACCCCCCTTACCGTCAATGTGTCGTTAAGCTTTAAGTGTTAAAATAAACATGCATGAGAGCAATTCGATCAAAACTTCTCCACCTCTTACCTTTTTCAGCCTTGTGTTCCGTTAATTCGTAATAGGATAAGGTTTAACGATAGGAGGATTTGCGTTATTTCCGAAACATTTAGGGGGGGCGATTAGTAATCATCTAATGGCCAACTTAACAACCATGACAATACAAAAATGACCCACCAAACAAATTGAAATTAGTCAATAAAAAACAGGTAGTTATAGTTGTGATAAAGAAGCAAACTCTAATCACATCATGACTCCTTTACTCTTTTGCAATGTTATGTGTCTTAATCTTGTCTTCATTGAGCCAGGAATTGTAAATTACAAACCACAAAACCACCACCACCTCTCTCTCTCAATTTAATTAACTTCAAATTCAAGCAACAATTTTAATCATCAATTGCTCACTAACTAACAGCTAGCAGGGGAGGGGACGACAAACCACAAAACCCACCACCCGTTCCTTCTTTTTCAACCTAAAAATTGCCATTTTAAAGTAAAAATACCGATATTATTAATCTAAATTTTTAAAGAAACGATGTCTTTTTTTTATTTTGAGTTAGTTTGCGCACACCTCAACTAATCTACGAGATCTATTGAACACTCGAAAAGTCTAATAGGTCAGATAAATCACAAATGTGGTAGATGACCTCTTTGTGAGACTCGAACACAAGACCTTTGGATAACCCATCTAAATGATTAAAGTCTTGCCGTCCGACCATAAAGCTAATGTTTGACTGTAGTAATATTTTGTTGGTTCGTTTTATAATTTTCTTTATGATCCGGGTCTTTTTAAGCTTTTAATAATTTTATGTTATGTGTCTATTTTTAGTTACATGTAATGAAATTTTTTTTTTTTTTTTTTTTTATTATTAGCGAACGTATATATAGTGGTAACAATTTACCTTTTTATTTAGTTTTAAATGGGTCATATTGGATTTAATGGTCAATTTCATTATAGGAAATATCATATTAATTTGTTAATTATGTTTAATGAACCAGTCAAATCTCACCACGTCAGCGTTATATGAAGTGAAAATCAATCATCTTGTGGGACCTACGGGACAGAACGAGAAAGTCAGCTTGCATGATTGAATTTAAACCGTTTGATCAAAACTAGTATGATTTAATGATAAGAACCTCTTGCATTGTAACACCGGGTGTGACGTGTCATTCTCAGAGGCACCTTCGTAAATAAAATCCAACAACGAGGTTACTTCCGTCATTCCGCAAAGATTCCTCAAAACATCGCTTTTCGCTGACGACGCTGGTAAGGTAACTAACTAACTAAATCCCCTCCCTCTGTACACTCCACAGTGCACTTTTCCAGTAGTTGTACAATTATAAAAAAAAAACCTTAATGACGAAACTACCCTTTCTCAAACCGTCACCCAACCCAAATACAAGGGCATTCGAAGTAAAAATATGATTCTGTTACGAAAACAAATAAAAAATAAGTAAATAAATATTTTGTTTGTTTGTTTATAAACGGTTTCAGATACTCATTTCGTTGTACACCAAACACGCCTTAATTTTTTTTCCCTCCAAATTCTTCCTTTATAAAGCCCAACCCTGAGCTCTCCATTTCTCTCTCTTCAAATCACAGAAGAAGAAAAAGATTTTACTGAACTCTCTGTCTCTCTCTCTTCACCAGGTATCTTTCAACATTTGTTTGTCGTTTCATAAATTTTGCTTCTCAAAACTACATCGATCAAGTTTCGTTGATTTTTGTTACTGTTTCATTGCTTTAGAAGTAGAGCTTGGATTTATTTTCTTTCACTGTTGTTGTCGTTTTGCGTGGTTTTTATTACTGAAACGACGTCAAATTTTGTCACGAACTGCTGCTCTCTCCATTACTTTGTTCGTTGAAGATCGAGCTTGTTTCTTGAATTCATTATAGTTTATCATTGTTGTTGATTGGTTACAGATTAGTTGAGTTTCTTGAATTTATATAATTAATTAATTATTTGATTTCTTGTGATTGAAGCAACGCTGTTTATAATAGTGATCTTAATCATTTCTTTCTTGTGCGTAGTTTCGATTAATCTGGAATGTAATCAGTAACTGTTTCATTGCTTTAGATCTGATTTTGTTTTTCATTTTTTTCGAATCTGTAGCAAATGCAAAACGACAGCATTTCAAGTGTGGCCTATGGCAACTTCGTTGCCGGCGGAACGAAATCGCAGGAGCATCAAAACGGCGACGAATTTACCTCTCTCTACTCGTCCTTCGTTTTGGCTCCAGAAACAACCACAAAGCTCTCTATCTCACCTTACACGGATCCAACCATAAATGACTCGCTCTACTACTCACGCCTGTTGATGCAACAGCAACAAACTCAACATCAGGACATGGTCAACCGCCACAACCTCTGCCTCACGCGCCTCCGTGAGGCTGCCAGAGAAGCCGAGAGCCTCCGCCAGGAGAACGCCTCGCTCCGCTCCGTCAATCGCGAGCTCAACAAGCACCTAAGCTTGCTCGTTAAGTCAACCGTGAGTGATCTTAACAGTAATGATAATAATGGAAATAGTAGTAACAGTAATAATAATAATGCTGCGACGACGTCGTTGGGGGTAGTGAATGGGATGCGTGGGCTGAGTATTAGTGGCGGTGGAGGAGAGGAGGTTTGTGTTGAAAGTCCGACGAGTGTCATAGAGAATGTGGATGTTAAGCGGGTTACGTTGCCAAAGAGTATTTCTGTGAGGTCTAATGGTTACTTGAAGATGGGTCAAGCGACTCAAGCTGCTGCTACTACTGTTACTCCTGCTGCCAATCCCACTAAGACTCGCCCTCGGACTCCGCTTAAGCCTACGGTAAAATTACGCTCACACCCCTATCTCTTTCTGTCTTTTACGAAATAGCCCCCCCTTTGTTTGTTTGTTTGGTAGGCCAGAAAATCACGGGCTTAGAGTGATCATGTGTTTGTGAATATGTCTGCATAAACAAGGTTCGTATTATCATAATTTTGATATTAAAACGCGATTTTATTGTTTCATTAGGCTCTGAAACTTGAATGTTACAAAGGTAACTTGTTCAGTAAAAAATTAATGTTGTATGTATTTAGTGTTTGCTGATATAGTAACGTTATTAGATTTTGTATCCATTCTAGGGTAATTTTAGAATTGAACAAACATGATTTCTATGTGTAGAGTAATATGATGCTTTTTAGGGTAGTGATTAATATTTCTTTTTGTGATTTATTAGATCACTCAGAATTAAATAAACATTTTGATAATTATTTTTTAATTATACGAAACTTAATAAATAAACATCATGGTGAATTTATATTATGTATTTCCTTTTATTAATTAATTGGTTGATATGAATTATGTTTACGTAAATTAAGATAAATGGAGTTGAAAACATGCTGGGAATAAATGTAAATACATCTCAGTTGGCCAGAACAAGTTCAACATAAGTTGCTTGTCATGCATAAATTCGATTCCGGCTCTCGGTGATTATTAGAACATGCCAATTGGTCAAGTTAACGGAAGGGACTATGGATGGAAACTATAATATTTAACTTGAACTGTTATGGGTTTTTCTCTGTCTGCAATATAATCTATTGGTTCTATGATATATATCATGAGTTGAACTGTAAAGTCAGTCTATTATTATATGTGCATGATGATTAAATATGTATGCAGCAAAAGGTGTACGTGCGAGGAGGGAAGCAAGAGGAGGATCCACTTGAACTAGAAGTGTACAACCAAGGCATGTTCAAGACAGAACTATGCAACAAATGGCAAGAGACAGGCACATGCCCATATGGTGACCACTGCCAGTTTGCTCACGGCATTGAAGAGCTCCGCCCTGTTATCCGCCACCCGCGATACAAGACCGAGGTCTGCCGAATGGTCCTTGCCGGTGATGTCTGTCCCTACGGCCACCGCTGCCACTTCCGCCATGCACTCACTGACCAGGAGAGGTTCATGGGCCACGTTAACTCCAGGTCTATCAAGCTCAATTGACAGGTAAAAACAAATAAACAACCAATTCTTGAACAATTGTTAGAGAATTGTATATGGGGTGATGCATGTTGATGTTGATTTTGATGTGGAGATGATGATGTTTATAGTCATATTGATATGGAGTAGGAGGAGGAGGAGGAGAAGGAGAAATGGTAAATAATATTCTTACTCTAGAGAGTTATAAGTATAGCGGCGGACATTACAAACATAATATAAAAATAACTAGCTACTTTGATAAGTTGGACAATCGAATATTAAAGACTTTGTGGACCTAAAGCTGCAAGATTTGAAGAGGTTCTATAGAGAGTTTTGTTGCAACCAAATCGGAATGCCTTGTAGTCATATTGTTTTTAGATTCTGGTGAAGTAAACTTTTGATTGATGTTTCATTCACGAATGTTATCTGCATACATACATTATATACATATATGCCCATGCATTATATACATCAGGGCCCTCTTATATGCCCATGCATTATATACATATATATTGCACGTGAGGCCTCTTTGTTTGGACAGACTGTATAATATTGCTTTATATAAAAATATAGGTGTCAAACCGTGTATATTAAAAATCTAATTTTTAGAATAGTGTATTATATTGTATTGTAGGATACTTCTTTTCCAAAAAAATAAAATAAAATAATAAATTTTTTTCTAAAAATTAATATCATTCTCAAGATTAGTTAACAAATTTTGTGATATTATTGACTTTAAATTATGGTATTACATATTCAAAATTAATCACAAAATTAAAAATCTATATCATTTATTCTCAACCATTCATATCATTTTCAAGATATCAATGTCAATATTTATATTTTCATTTGTATTATTGTTATCATGCAAAATGACAACACATCTTCCTTTTTACTTTTTCTATGTAAAATGGGTAAATTTGAACGGGTTTTAATGAACCCCGTTGGATGACCCAAATTCGACCCAAAATTTTTAAGGATACCTATCATATCGTAAGATACAAATCAATGTATCGAAAGGTTTAGGATACACTCTTTGCTACGTATCGTTGACGACTCGTATCGATCATATTGTAAGATATATATCGCATATTCTAGAATACTAATAACCATGTATGAAAGTAGCATGGTTGTTAAATCATGTATTGTATCGTATATTGAAAACCTAATTTTTTGAATCGTGTATCGCATATCGTATCGTATAGCAGGGTACGCCTTTTTCAAAAAAAAAAAATAATAATAAAAAATTTCTAAAAATTAATATCATCCTCATGATTAATTAACAAATTCTGTGGTATTATTGTCTTTAAATTATGGTATTACAAAATCAAAATTAATCACAAAATTAAGAATCTATATCATTTCTTTTCAACCATTCATATCATTTTCAAGATCAATGTCAATATCTATATATAACTCAACTTATGTTATTATTATCATGTAAAATGGGTAAATTTGGGCAGGTTTTAGTGAACGGGGTTGGGTGACCTGGATTCGACTTGAACTTTTTTTTGGACCTTTGAGCCAAATTAATAAAGTCGTATCGATTTGTATCAATATTTTCAAGGATAAAAATGGATACGTATCGTATCGTAAGATACATAACAACGTATTGAAATATTTAAGATACACTCTCTGATATGTATCGTTGACAATCCATATCAAATCGCATGCATCATAGAAAACGCATCATGTATCGTAGGATACTAACAACCATGAAAATAAGAGTCTTTTATCTTATCATTTATTGTTGCTATAAAGTCCTTGCAACAAATAAATTAAACCTAATTGAGATGAAGCTTGGCCCATTAGAATCTTTCTATTGCATGTAAACCCTAAAATGAACTCTCTTTTGACTTGGAAATTCGACATAACAACAAGAGGCCACCTCTTTATTTCCTCCGACAAATACAGATAAGATAAGCAGACATTGCTCATTAAATGTACACGATATTTTCTTATTGATTCATACCTACCGTGCATGTCTAATAATTAGCTCACTGTTATGTAAACCAATTACGTAATCTTTGTCGAGAAATCTCAGAACGGGTGGACTGTGATACGATAATTAAGCGGACTTACTTTTGATCCTGGTCATCAAGCCATGTTTTGTGTGAAGAATCACACTGGCTGCAGGAATCACAGGGCAAGTTTTATCAACTTGGACTGAGTAATTATACAAAATAGTTGCGGCAACAGCTTTCATTAGGGTAAAAGCCATGTTCTTCCCTAGACAAATCCTGGGTCCTGCGCTGAAAGCAAAGAACTTGTTTGATGGCTCATGTTTAATCTCTCCTTTCTCACTTATCCATCTCTCTGGCTTGAACTCTTGACAATCCTCTCCCCAAACCCACGTCATCCTCGCCATCGCATACGAAGACATCTGCACTTTCGTCTGCGGTTTGATCCGGTGCCCACTTGGAAGAATATCATGTTCTAAAGCTATCCTCTCCTGAAATGGAGCCGGTGGATACAGCCTTAATGTTTCGTATAAAGTTGCTTGCATGTAAACCAGTTTCCGCACCTCTTCTATGCTTGAAATCTCCCACTTTGAGCCTTCTTTTGCCGTCAGTTTTTCCTCCATTTCTTCTCTGATTTTGTTTTCGACATCAGGGTTCTCCGAAAGCAGCCAGAAGAACCAAGTTAGCGTTGCACTCGTTGTGTCTTGTGCAGCGAAAATGAAGCCCAGGACGTTGTCTCTTATGTTCTCTTCCGGGTGTAATACGGAGCCGAACACTTCATGTTCAGTCAAAAAACACTGCAGGAAATCGAATTTTTCTTCGTCCTTGTTGGTTTTAAGCTCCTCTCGCTTCATTGATACGTATTTTGTTACAATTTCACGTAGGGTGTCTCTTGCTGCATTCAGTTTCTTCTCTTTCCCAATCCCCACCCAGCTCAGCTTCCATAAACTTTCCGGCATGAAATGCCTGTAAAATATGGCTTCACACATGTCATCCATGGCTTTAAAGAAAGGATGTTGAGGGAACTCAACAGAGAGCGTCTTGGGGTTGAATCCTGTAGACATTATGCACGCAAAATCATACAAATTTCTCTTGAACAAATCTTCCAAATCCACCACAATCTCTTGTTTCGAGACGTGCTCGAGCACTGGGATCAACCCTTTTTTTATATTCACAGGGATGACCTTGGCCATGAACTGATGAGTCTGCGGATGCATAAAGTAATTATGAATGAGTTTCCTGTAAGTCTTCCAGTCCTCTAAGTCCAAAGTGAAGAGCGAAACCCCGAGAGCATCAAACAGTTGTTGAAACGCCGGGCCTTTGGGGTAATTCCAGAAGTTTTTGCTCATCACATGGTGGACATTTCCAGGATTTGTCGTTGCCACCATGTCCATTTTCGAACTGTGCACTGAAATTGTACCCAGCTGGCTTCTCTCCAGAAGCTCAGTGAACTTTTCAGGAAGATTATGGAGATTGAGAAGAAAAGTAAGGGACATTCCAACAAATGACCAGTTGGCAAGAAGCAAAAGGAAGAGGATGAAGCAAAGAGTTGATAAAATGAGTTCAGGGTAGTACATTGACAAGGTTGGGAATTCCATTTTTGCAAAATTGGAATGGTTTGAAAAGTTGTAGTTTGTGGTATGTTTGTGAGGGTGGTGGCTGCTTTTAAAAAGGAATTTTTGGGGACAGCTGAACAAACAACCTTAAATTTAGGACTTATTAGCAGTGAATAGAAAAATCAAAGGCCCTTCCATTTAAGCAACCATATACTGTATATATTATATATTATATAGCTCATAATCCAATCTATCCATTTGCAAACTAACTAATTGCAAACTTTTATGTTGGGGATGTGAGAGAAAAAATGTGAGATTGGATGATAATTGTAACATTACCCATATATATACAAATATAGCAAGGACGTAGCCACATTGGAAATATGGGTTCAATTGAACCCACTCAAAATTAAAAAAAAAAAAAAAAAACTAACTCTTATAGTATTATAATTTTGATCACATTTAAATTATCTTAAACCACTCAAACTTATATTTATAAATATAAAAGCAGGATGTGATGCGCTGAAAAGATGTGGTCGTGGGCCGTGCGTTCTAAAATTCAAAGCGCATCGTGTCGTGGGTTGTGTCATCCCAAGGCGCCAAAAATTCATGCCCTCTCATGCCATGTTGACCTACAAAATTGAAGGCCCATGGCACGGGCCCATATATATGCCGTGTCTTGGGTCTGTCGTGGGTTTGCTGGGATAACCCACATGCTTTATAAAAATATTTAATTTTAATATTATAAATTATTGTAATTTTGATTTATAATTAATAATTATTATAAAAAATATTTTATATTTTATATTTAGTGATGTTTGTATTTATATTAATTTAAAAATATATAATCACTATAAAATACAATAAAATAATGAGTTTTGAAATATTAATTGAATTTCTAACACTTTTTATTATTTATAAGTTAAATTATAAATTACAAATATAACCTAAAATTAGGATTAATGATTATACCATCTTTATTTCCATTCTTTTTAAATTCTTAAAATCTCAAAAACATTTTTTTATTTTTTTTTTTCTCGGTGTTGTGTCGTGCTGGCTCACGTGCCTTTTTTAACCCCTCAACATGGCCCGCATATTTGTGCCAGGGCCGGCACAGCCCACCGTCGGCTCTACCCAGGTACCTTGTAAATTTTAATTACCCCTATTAATTTAAAAATGACAAATAAACCTTAATTTTAAAAATACACCCCTGAAAAATTAAGAAAACGAGCATTTAGCAGTTTTCTATTTTCATTACTCATTCATTTGTATCCAATTAATTTTACGTCAAAGTATTTGTGGAATTAATTTTGGGAATTAAATTTTAGTGAACTTTATTATCCAAAATAAAAAATATTATATAAATTATAATTACTAGAGTGAAAATGAAGGTTTTAAATTTGCCCATAAGTTAATTAACCCCCACACTTTATTAATGTTCCATCAATTTATCATATATAATTACTAATTTACTATATATTTGCTTAGAACTTTATAATTGAAGTAAATATTATTCAATCAAATATACTATTTTATTCAAAAATAATTCTTTTAATTGGATCTTAATTCCAATTATACACTTAATTAATCAAATAATTAATGAATCTAATATATTTTGATTTTCTTAAGTCTTAATCACATGCCCTCAAAATGTTAACATTATAATATCTTTTTTTTTTTAAATAGAGAAATAAAATATAATTACTAATAATTAAATTATTTCGAAAAAAATTTCATACACAATTAATAGGTGGTTGAGATTTTTGTATTTTAATAAATCAATGACTAATCACTTATCTTTGATACTCGTTGAACTTCAATTCATACAATCATACTTATGAATTAATAAAAAAAATTATATAATATTATAATTGCTAGAGTGAAAATGAAGTTTTTGAATTTGCTCGTAAGTTAAATTAACATTAATTATGACAAAAGAATCAAATCAAATCAAATATTAATATTAATATGATTTATGAATCTTTAATTAAATAATTAGTATGACTCTAAGTTTATTTTATGCCATTAATTTTAGTTTGATTACAAAACATTTACCCTTCTTAATATGTCATGAGTTGTCATACTATAATGTTATAATTAATTAAATATCTAATCATTTAATTAAGTAATGTACTAATTTTCATCAATTTACATATATAATTATTTTTCTTAATATATAATTAATTTATCATGTACTAATGTCACTAATTTAAGTTTGATTACAAAACACTTACCTTTCTTAATATAACATGAGTTGTCATACTATAATATTATAATTAATTAAAATTTTAATCATATAATTAAGTAATGTACTAATATCCATCAATTTATCATATATAATTACTTATTCACTATAGATATATTTAGAACTTGATAATTGAACTAAATATTATTCACTCAAACCTACTATTTTATTCAAAAATAATTATTTTAATAGAATTAAAACACTTTTATTTTGATCCTAATTCCAATTATACACTTAATTAATTAATATTATAATATATATTTAAAATATAAAATATGATATTTATTATTTACTATTATTAAATATAATTCACCCAGCCTCACCTGGCCATGTGTCTACTGTCTTCACTCTTCTTGCATTTTAAATTTTTGTGCAAAATTACAATAAACCCTCATACTTTACTGGTATATATTCTGATTTAGTTCCAGTTCCAGGACAGGTTCCACGCTAGGTATCTAATCCCGACCAATCCCAGGTTGTTGGTTCGGTTCCAATTCCTGCTCATGCAAGAACCAAAATCGGACCTGTCCATTGTCGGTTCCAAAAAAATAGAACTAGAATCTATCTTGTGAAGGTCAGTTTCGGTTCTACTCAGAACAGTTACCCATGCTCATCCCTAGTTTGGTTGGTTGGTTGTCTTGTGGTTTTCTATTTCCATAAATGAATATGAACAGTCGAATCTTCTAATTATCTGTGTATAATTAAATTAATTAAATTTTTGAAAGTTAATTATTATAATTAATCAAGTATTTAACATCAAACCCACTTGCCATATATAAATTCATTTCAATTTAATGCACATGGACAGTCTCAACGTCAGGCCTCTTTTCTTGTTCGGCTTTAAAAGTTTCAAGTCTTCATCTTATCAACAAAAATTTCCCGATTAAAATATTGTTCATTATATAAATTAAAATTAATATATACAACTATACATTACATAATTGATTGGTTTATATTTATTAGTATATTTAGAACTTGATAATTGAACTAAATATTATCACTCAAACCACTATTTATTCAAAAATAATTATTTTAATAGAATTAAAACACTTTTGTTTGATCTAATTCCAATTATACACTTAATTAATAATTATATAATATATTATTTAAAATATAATATAATATTTATTATTTCTATTATTAAATATAATTCACCCAGCCTCACCTGGCCATGTGTCTACTGTCTTCACTCTTCTTGCATTTTAAATTTTGTGTGCAAAATTACCATAACCTCATACTTTACTGGTATATATTCTGATTAGTTCCAGTTCCAGGACAGGTTCCACGCTAGGTATCTAATCCCGACCAATCCCAGGTTGTTGGTTCGGTTCCGATTCCTGCTCATGCAAGAACCAAAATCGGACCTGTCCATTGTCGTTCCAAAAAAATGAACTAGAACTATTTGTGAAGGTCGTTTCGGTTCTACTCAGAACAGTTACCCATGCTCATCCCTAGTTTGGTTGGTTGTTGTCTTGTGGTTTCTATTTCCATAAATGAATATGAACAGTGCGATTTCTAATTATCTGTGTAAATTAAATTAATTAAATTTTTGAAAGTTATTATTATAATTAACAAGTATTTAACATCAAACCCACTTGCCAGCATAAATCATTTCAATTTAATGCACATGGACAGTCTCAACGTCAGGCCTTTTCTGTTCGGCTTTGAAAGTTCAAGTCTCATCTTACAACAAAAATTTCCCGATTAAAATATTGTTCATTATAAAATTAAAATTATATATACAACTTACATTACATAATTGATTGGTTTATATTTACACCTTAATTAATTATTTGAATATTCGCAAGCAACTTCCAATGTGTGGGGTGTTTCCCACAAAACTTTAAACTATAAATTTTTCTTCGAGATTTAGAATAATGAAAATTTTATTGCCTAAGTAAGTCGATAATGAATGATAAATTTTACTAATGATGAGTTGATAACTATTTAATTAATTAACTTTACTATTTATTTAACATAAAAAATAAATAGGTTTTGTTATTTAGTTATACTTAACAACATTCGAGATTTATTTCATATAGATATATTCTTAAAATAATCTAATATTTTTTGTAAATCAACTCACTGTCACACAAATAAAAATTGGTGCCGTCTAATATCTTGAACAATAATGTTACATGTAAAAGAAGAATTATGACCAAACCCGATTTTTACTTTATCTGTTAACGGCTACAGGTTGGGATCTTAACTTATAATTATAACGAAAATTTTGCTCAAATTATGACAAACAGATATGCAAAACTCATTTTCAAGTCCGCAATTTCTTCATCCACCCTTCATATAAATTAATGCATATTAAACAATGGACACAAACCAAGCCTCATTTCTGTTCGGCTTTAAGTTTTAGCCATGGACATGCAAACTCTTCTTCTGTAACCAGGTCTTTCTATCTTGGTCAAGAAAGAGACTTTGAAGTTTGAACCATATACTATACCATAAATACAATAATTTGCACCAATTTTTAATTATTTTAAAAGTTGTATCGATTTAATTGTGTCGATGCTGATTTTGACACCAACGATTGCACGCAAAGTGCTAAGCTGTTCTTAAAATTACACGTGAATGATTATGATAAGATACCAAGACTGAATAATAAATAAGATATATGATTTTAAAGTGGTTCGGATGCCTAAAAAAAAATCCTACTTCACTTTTATATATGAGGATTATAAGAGGTTGCGTAGAGCGAATAACGAGCTTATATAGGTACATAATTGAGTATTTAAAGAATATCAAGTCGTCTCTTTCTCGTGGGTTATCTTTGCTCTGAAAATGA